TCTGCAGTGAGTTGGCTACTGAGTTTAATTGCTTGGTCATTACTTTGTCTGGTGCAGCATTTTCCTAATTTTGTGACTTTGCTACCCCCAAAGCAAAGGGTTTACAAGTTGGATTTGCCCAGGTGCTGTGCCTTCTCCCAGCCTGACCTTTAACCACGTTTCTGCAATACAAAATGTGGGGATTTTTTTAATTTACTGTACTTACTGTAATCAAGATGTGGTTTTAGGCAGCAGTGCCAAATTGCTGCTGACCCTTCTAGTTTCTTAGTGTTACTCTTCTGTTTTAAATAGTGGTAAACTTGTGGCAAAGACCCATCTACTTTCTGCTTTTGTAATGATCCTCGTTTTTTTCATACGATGCATCAAAGATAAGTCAAAGAGTAGTACGAACTTGAGTCTTCACCTGCTGGAATATAAACCTCAAATTCATGGCCTTGTTTTTAGCAGAAGACAACACACAGTTTTTGTGGAACTGTAGCTTTGGCAGAATTGGTGAATGTCTGTCTTTTTTTGTCTTGAGAAATGTCTTTCCTTTTTTCCAATGGTTTAACAGTTATATCTGGAAAACAAGAGGTCGAGTTGGTAAAGATCTGTTGGATCAGAACAGCATACAGAATTGCTGCAGTTAGCTTCACTCTTGGTCTGGTGTCGAAGTTAGGACCCCTTGCCAGTGTGGATGCGCACGATCAGATTGTTTCTTAGCGAAATGTGGGTAGGAACAGTAATTTTGGAAATGTGGTAAGAGCTGGAAAATCTAGAACACTTACGTTGATGCTTAAAGGGAATACTCCGAAGTTTCTGACCAGTCTAACAACCCAGTTATTTAAGTTCTAAGAATACTTGTCACTAAAATGGGAATGCTTTCTATTTCAGAGGCGCCAAACTCTTTCGCTTTTGGCCATTTGTGTAGCTGATGTAGGAAGGAGTATCTTCTAAAATCCTTGAGACCAACAGAGGGAACTGGTGACACTGTTTGACTCTGGCCATGTTCTTTGAAAGACTGCGTTGTTGACACTTTTGACTGTAATAAAAGGAAAAACCAGAACTGGACTGTACCTCTCTTTTGTTGGGGTGTTTCACATCTGGTGAAATGACCTTAAGAAAGAAGAGGGTTATTCATCTGAACATGATGCAAAAATTATGTTCCAGGTTGACGAAGGGCTCCCTTCAGCACCGTGCTCTAGGTGCCCTTTGACAAACGGCAGGCTCAGCAAACGGGGAGGCTCTCGTCTCCGCAGCAAGCCTGAAGGTGTGAAGCTGCCTTACGGAAAGTTAAGGCTGGTAGCTAATTAAATAAAGGCTATTTGCATGAGAGTTTTTTCGTGAGAGTAGTACTCTGCAAGCATTCTGAAAATGTCACCTAGACATTCCAAATCTGCAGTTGTTGCCAATCAGCAGATGTCATCAGTGTGTGTGATGCTGTATGAGACCATGTTTCTGTTTCAGAAGCTTGTTTTCCTAAACGAGTCAGGTGGCAGTTTAGTGGTTTTTCATTTTTTCCTCATTAAGGCCTTTCATGTTTCTCTGATGGACTTGCTTATTTCTGCAGAATTTATTGGAGGGATATTTATGTTCCCTGGGATAAGTTCCTTTGATTTCTTGACTAACTCATGAGCCCTGTTTATGAGGGCATGTTGTTTTGGGAGCAAGGTTGTGTTCAACCACAGCATAGTGTTTTCAAAAGCAGTTGACATTCAGTTGGATTTAGATATCAGTGTTGTTTGGATATTTTGAAACGTAGACATGATTCTTTGGGTCTCTTTAATTAAATGGTTGTGCATCTGTGAGGTAAAAAATTGATTTTTTTTTTTTTTTAATGGAACAGGAGACTTCATTTTACCTCACATTACAGCATGCAATGCTGAAGTCATTGTAATACAAACCTAAATCACTATGAGAAATATTTGAAACTAGGGACTTCTTGGTATAAGGAAGTAGCTTTGAAATAAGGCACACCAAGTTGAAGAATTGTAGCTGTTGTGGACTCGCTAGCTGCAGGGGTGTTGTTGGGACTCAGATGTCTGAAGTGGGGGACACAGACTGTTACAGCTTGGTTTGCAAGGTACCAAGAGCAGAGAGGTTAATTTAAAAGCTCTTTGAAGTGACCCCAGTGCTACTCATTGACAGGTTTGCACTAAAAGTAGCGGTTTTGAGAGGATGGGCAGAGTTGGGTTCGCTTGCTGGGCTGTGATGGTGGTGATGAGCCAGCTCCGTAGGTAAGGTCTTGCCATCAGGGCTTCTCTGTAGCCTGCAGCATGGGCCAGTTATTTGGGTGGCCCTTAATCAGAGGGACAGTGATGGTGTACCGAGCCTCTAGTCTTAAAGAAGGGACTCTGCTAAGTAAGAATTGGGCCTGAAAGTGGTTTCCAGTTTTGTGTGCCAGGAAGTTTTGGAATTTGCTGTGGTTACAGGATTCTGCTTAAGAAGAGAATATTTTTAGATTTTTATAATGACATAGGCTTAGTATTTTCTTCATTTTGTGCTCTTAAGTTATTGTAGGTAACCCTCTTGCCTGGTAACCAATGTTACTTGCTCATAGGTCAGTAGTTTGGAGGATAAATGCTATGGGCCCCGTAGTTGTCAAGTTCTGCTCTACGGGCGTGCTGTTTTTCTCTAATGCCATTCTCAACACTAAATTAAGATGGGTTTTTGAATTCTTACTTGTTAAGAAATTAGCTGGTTTTGGCAGTTTTTAATTGTGTCTCATGTATGTATTTAATTTCAGAGGTCGCAGCAGTGGCAAAGGACCGCCTCAGCCTACGGTAAGTACATGGTTTTTGCTCGTTGTACCACTTCCTAGAAATGGGGAAACAACTTAGGTACAGTGGACTCAAGTATCAATGTACAAATGGCAGATACTGGACTGTTCTCTCAATTTTTTCCTTTGGATACCTTGATGAATATTTTAGACCAAGGTATGCTTTTCTGGAGATGTAACATCTTGCATTCATTTAAGTCTCCTTGCGGGGGGACAATGAGTTGACTTTGGCTGGATGCCAGGTGCCCACCAAGCCGTTCCATCGCTCCCCTCCTCAGCAGGACAGGCAGGGAGGAAAATAAGATGGAAAAAAGTTTGTCGGTCAAGATAAAGGCCATTTAATAAAGCAAAAGCTAAGGCCCCACGCGGAAGCAAAGGAAAACAAAAGATGGAATTCTCCAGTTCCCATCAGCAGGCGATGTCCAGCCGCTTCCTGGGAAGTAGGGCTTCAGTCTGCATAGCAGTTGCTCCAGAAGACAAATGTCGTGATAACAAATGTCCTGTGTTGCGTGTCATCCCCTCATCCGCCTTTCCCTTGGCTTTTATTGCTGAGCAGACGTCACAGGGTCTGGAATATCCCTTGGGTCAGTCTGGCTCAGCTGCCCCGGCTGTGTCCCCTCCCCAGATCTTGCCCACCTCCAGCCTACTGGTGAGGGGGAACGTTGGAGAAACAGCCCTGATGCTGCAGTAGCCAAAGCACAGGTGTGTTACCGACACCTTTCTGGGTACCAGTACACAGCACTGTGAGGGCTGCTGTGGGGAAAATTATCTCCATCTCAGCCAGACCCAGTGCGGAGGGGGAAGGGGGAAGGGTTGCTTAAATGCTTGTATAAATATTCTGCATTTTCTTGCAGTTACAGTTGTAGGTATGGATAACATTTAACTAAGGCAATGCTTTTCAATTAGTTCCTCTCCGAAGACTCTGACATTGGCTTCTCTCTTAAACAGATGACAGTAAGACAACATTAAATTAAATAAAAATAACAATTTTTTTTAGCTTTACTATAAAGTAGCTAACCCAGTATTACCAGTAACCTGGTAGCTTTAGCTACTCTTGAGGCTATATATTGCTGAAGTATAGGTGTGGCTTGACTTATGGAATGTAATTTTATCAAAGCTAAAGATGTGGATCTCGATTTAAATAATGGATCTTTGAACCGCACTAATCAACTATTTGCTAATTTGTTATTGGCTTGGTTTTCAAGGATGACTAATTTTGAGGAATGGGGCAGAAGTAGGAAGGTTTAAAAGTTGACTGACATAAATGTTTATTGAAGATCTCAAGACTCTTGTGTAAAAATAGAGAAGCTTTGATGAAGAGTGGTGACAAAGATCATATGCAAACACTAAACACCAGAAAAGCAATAGTCTTTACGTCCTCAATACTGAGTGTTGGGTGTAGGAGCATCCTTCAGCATGTCTCTTCAGACCAGGAAGGTGGCTAACATGCAGGAGGAAGTGGATTAAGTAGCTAACAGTTTAAAAAAGATGTGTTGTCGGTTAAAAAGCTCAAAATACGGTGAAGTCCTTGCGTGTTTCAGCATCTCTTGTCTCACAAGCATCAAGTTGACAGGGAGAGATACCAGATGTTGCAACAAAACACAGCCATCCTCACTGCTCCGTGTGTGCTTGTGGGAGCCTGTCATCCAGCAACCGGGGTGACACTTGGTCAGCTCTCCTGGTGTGAGATTCTGATCCTGCAGAGAATTTTCACTAATTTCATGATGGGTTTTGTAGCTCTTTGGCGCTCCATGGTTTGATGACTTCAGCTTCTGTTGATGCAGGTAATAGGTCTGTTAGATGAAGAGGCCCTGAAAGCACCTTACTACTTGTGTAGCAGTTGAAGTACCTTATCCTGTTGATGCCTCTTAAACCAGAGAGGAATGTTAGCAGGGCTTTTTCCTTCAGGAGTCTGCGCGTACGACCTTCACCCAGCCAGTGGGAGAATTTCCTTATTGGGTGACATTAGGGACACTCTGTAAAGTTTATCCTGGTGGGAAGGGTGTTCAGATACTTAATGATCAGAGAAAGGGGTAAGTCTCCTCTGGAAATCTCACATGACCCAAGTTCTATGTCTATCAACTCAGTATTTGCACCAGTGTTTCTAGGAACTAATACGTACAGATGAAAACCTGCGTTGTTTTCGGCGTGCTGGCTTTTTGAATTGTTACAAATGTTTCTCATACATTCATGACATCTTTTTTTTGTTTTTCAGATTTCTTTCGATGGCATCTATGCAAACATGAGAATGGTTCACATACTTACATCAGTTGTTGTAAGTCTCCGTATTTGGAAGGAGAGTAAACAGTTTCTATAGTGACATAGAATTAATTAACTAGTCTGCTAATTGTTATATAAAATATTAAACTTTAACAGTAGGCATATTTTGCCAAGATTGAACTTTAAAGAATCACGCTAATAGCTATTCTGTATTTTTGGCTTGGAAAGGTTCAAATATTATTTGTAGAGATATAGCACGTTTCTTAGGTGCATTGATCATATTTTGGATTTTCTGTCTTTAGAGAGGTTATGGATAAATAAAATGAGTCAGTGTGCAGAGGGTGGAAGTCTTTCTCCCCAGATTTTAAGGGAAGTCTTGACATGCCAAAGTTTAGTAAGGCAGAGTCCCACATCTGCTAGAGCCCAGGATAAGCCTTTGTCTTTATTTGTACCCACATGTATGCACAGATTTTGGTTTTGCACAAAAACTTGTTTGTGTGATTACTGGTCGAGAGTCTTGTGAGTACCAGATACACTCTGTGAGTATCTTTAAATCCCTTCAGAACGAATTTTGGTACACGCTCAGCTGTTTGCATCCCCGGAACACAGTGGCATATTTATGAACAGACATTGTTGAATGAAGAGATTTGACTGAAAACTGGGCTGTGTTTTTACATGTCGTACTTACGTAAAAAACACATCTTTGAGAAGACCACTCAAATGTCATCTGTCAGGCGGTAAAAAGCTCTGTTTTCATTTTTCTTGCCTTCTAGGGATCCAAATGTGAAGTACAGGTGAAAAATGGTGGTATATATGAAGGAGTCTTTAAAACCTACAGTCCTAAGGTGATTTTTTTCATTTTGACTCTTCCCTATTTTAAAAGATCCAAATACTGAATAATCAATGTTTGATTAAAATTTGAATATTTATTCTGAATTGTTTTGACTATTCATGTCTAGGTTTACACAAGCAGATTAATTTTTGCAAACTATTGTGAATGTCTGCTTTTTTACAAGTATGTGATGTTATTGAGTAGCTTATTGTGCATTAAGTTAGTGTATTCTTTTTATATCTCTAATAGTGTGATTTAGTGCTTGATGCTGCTCATCGGAAAACTGCAGAATCCAGTTTGGGGCCAAAACGTGAAGACATACTAGAGAGTATCTTGTTCAAGCCTTCAGATTTTGTTATGGTTCATTTTAAGGATATGGATACCAACTATGCGAGAAGAGGTATACTTGTTTTTAAAGCTGTCTATATCTTAGATGATAAGTCAAGCTTTTCCAGGTAGATGCTTTAGGATGCAGAAAGTAAAGTTTGCATTCAGACTCTTTAATTCTTAACGAGTGCAGAACATCCAAATATCCCATTAAAGCCTGTGGAAAGAGCAGATGCTCAGCACCTCCCAGAATCAGAAATTTATCAAAATTTAAAAAACAAATTGCAGAACCTTTGTGAGGGCACACTGCTTTAAGCAGCTGTTTTATGTGTCTGGAAAGCAAATCCTTACGGTGTTACAAAACATTTTACAGATTTTGTGGGAGGTTGGTTTTTCTTTTTTGTAAATGTCTTTCTAAACGAGTCTATTAAATGTTATGTGAGGATCCATGAATATACAAATTCTTTATAAAAAGGTTATTGTTTAGGGTTGGTGTATATATAAAGTCTATATATAGTTAGGTAACTTGTCTCTAAACGTGCATTCATATAAATATTCTAAAAATATTACTGCAAACAGAGCTAAAAATTCTTAGAAAATCCACTATTTGCATTTTTAATTTCTGCTTTACTACTTGTAGATCTGTAGGTAAGGCTCTCCAAAATACAGAAGCAGCCAGTGAGGTGGCAGGCAAGTGGTCTTGACATGGCTTGAAACTGTCAGAATTAAACAATTTTACAGGCAGCCTTCATACTTTTAATGTCTGACCTCCAAGACCCTGATTATTTTTCTGGAACCTACAAGGCTTCTAAGTCAGACAGTTCTAGTTCCTTTGCAGATTATTTTTTTTCTGGACAGCAAATCTAAAGGGTTTTTATTCTTGTGTTCCTGATTTGCTGGGCTAAGGAATAAAAGCAAATGAGTCCCATGGAGTGAAATTGCACATGTGTACGTCTTCAGGTTGATCAACAGCTGTCCCTAGGAGATATGTGGTTATTGTAACACACGTGCTTCATTCCCTTGGAGCAGTGACGTAGAGATGCATAGGGACTGGTGGACATGGAATAAGATCTTCATCTTTTCACCTTGTGTTTGTACATGCATATGTTCTTGCCTGATTTAAAGCTGAAGAATGAGAGGCCTGTTGTTTCAAGGAATTTGCTTTTCCCAGAAGAAGATGTGTAACGTCCGAGCAAACATAGCATTGAAATGCAGATAAGTTCCAGGTTCTGGATGGGACTTTGAATTTAAATTACACGAGAGCTGTTTTATAATGGGTCTGCTATGAACATCACTTTAATGTAAATGCAGACTGGGCTCTCCGTTACCCAATCTTCATAGATTTGGAGCAAATGGAATGAAGAATATACTACTACTTCTAGGAATAATTACTCGGTGGAAGTTTTGCAGAAGAAAATGACCGCTTCAGGTTGAACAGTCGCTCAGTTCACTTTATTAGGTGGAATGTCTTTGAATCTAAATCTCTTAAGTAGCTGGAGAGAAGAGCTGAAATAAAGCTGTAGAGACTTGTAGCAAGATAAACTGGAAGGCAGCAGAACTCAATAGTGGGTAAATTAATCTGCTTTCCATTTTGTCTCAAAAATGTATTCTCTTGAAATGACACTTGAAAGTGTAAGTCAGTCTCTGATCACACCTACAGATTAGAGCAATGAAGGGCTTTCTGCTTCTTGGGAAATTAAATAAGCAAGGTTTCAGAAGAATGGAAGTGTATGAACTTGCATGCAGGAACTGCTGGCCTTTTGTTGCCATAAATAAACCCAAATCTTCGTGGCACCAAGTCAAATAAGCCTGTGTGATTCACAGTAAAAACTGAATATGAACTTCTGGGTGAGGAGATGGTACTCCTTGCCGCGTTTGTGCTGGGAATGGTGACCATCCGGTGCCCAGAGAAGTTTGACAGTGTTGCACTTACTCAGGAGCAAATATGGTCAAATTGCCTGGCCCTCAATGTGGTTTTGGCTTTCACAGACAAGTTAGTAGACAATTTGAACGTATTTGGAAGGCATCTTGCTCTCACTTCTTTAAAATATGTGGTCAAACAAAAGGGCACTTCGCAATCACTCTGTTGCCATAGGAGGAGGGGCTTACCTAGAGTAGGGTTTGTTGGGGTCTGTGTATCTAGTTTCTCCTACCTCTTAGGAAACTGTTAGACTTTTGAGGAGGCCTTGAAGTAAACTCGATTTCTGCAAGAGGTACTGTTTTGGAAATTTTAGTGCATCCTGGTTTCCTGGTTCAGTATAAGTATCTGGAGCTCTATGGATTTTTATTCTGGCATTTGCTGCTCTGCTGAGCTGGAGGAGTGTGGACAAGTGGTGCTCCTGACTCCGAGTCTTGATCTTCTGACTTAACCCTCAGACATGAATAGCAGAGTTAGCTGCACCAAGTCAGACAGAGAGGCTGGAAAGGAGCAGCAGGTGGAGAGAAAGGGAATGGGATGGATTCTTCTTTCAACAGGAGTGGAAAATACAGTTGTCTCTGAAAGAACCATCTGAAGCAGTCTGCCAGGCACCCTTCATTGCTATCATAGTTGTGCAGCTTTGAGGCAGTGAGCTGATAATTCATCCTGCAGCTACATCAGTGGTGCGAGTGCAGGGGAGGTAACGACAGGATAGGCTTGGGGTGGGTGAAACCACCCCGTTTGGAAGCAGGAGCCTTAGATTTGCTTGTGCCAAGCATGACGTTGCACCTTTAGATGCACCAGTGGAGAAAGTGCGGTGCCTGCCCAGATTGTAGAAGTTGGAAGGGTTGGGAGAAAAAATAGCAGGTCTGCATAGATAGAGATGTTCTCACAGTTTATGTTTAAAAAATAAATCTGTCCCTACTTCCTAGGCCTTTATTTGCAACTCTGTCGGTCTGCATAGACCTTCGAGCTTGTGTAGATTCTTGTTATTCTTCAAAACGATTGTAAAGCAGTCACCTGAGGGCCTCTCACTGTGGAATTAGGGCTTTCTGCAGCACAGGCAGGCTGATGAATGAAACATGCATTGGAAAACTCCGGTGAAATTGTATTATGTCCATCATCCCCCTTTCAAACTCTTGTCTGCATTTAAAGAGGGGCGGGCACAGTGTTCTGCATGTTGCAGTGGAAACCGGCAGCTAAAAATCCGTTCTGATGCGCAAGTGGAAATCCTCGGCAGCGCCTTGTCGTGTGACGTCTTTCTCCTTCGCCTTCCGAGGCAGAGGAGAAGTGCTTAGATCCTGTCGTTGGTACGTGGTCGAAATAGGAGGGTGTATTTCTCCCGTGTTCTGCGGAGCGAGCTCCTCGCCGTGTTTCCCACAGTCCTAAACACCCATCAGTGCTGGTTTGCACGTGATTCAAATTGGAGTAAGGCTTCAGAGCTGCCTTCTTGGCTTCTCTTGAAAGACAAGACAATTCAGCATCATAACTTCTGTTAAAGTAAAAGGCTTCCACAGTGTTTTTATTGTTTTTTGGCACCGTTACTGCACTTTGAGAAAAATATTACAAATCCAATGAAAAAAGGCAGAAGAGAATTGGCTATTTAAGTTTTTCCTTGAATTAGCACTGAAAGTGGCATCCTTCCAGAGAAAGCGTTGCAAGGGGAATAGCAGCAGGCATCTTATGAACAAAGGAAGGAAATGTTCGCTCTGGTGGTAACTGGTTTTAGTGTTTCAAGTCAGTAGTAAGTAGTTAGAAAACAAATGAGAGTTTACTGTTGAAACCTTGAAGATGAAGCCTGAGTTGACTCTGAGCTGTGCTAAATTTGATGGAAGCTCGCAGTGTGCAGCATGAACACCTTTGGCACATAATGCTGATTGGTTTAATAGCATTTGAACTGCAGAGCTGCACTTAATTGTGTTTTTGTGCTCTTCACCAGTAGTAGCACAAAATATGTTTGCGAAAACAAGCATGTTAAACACTGAAATTAATTAAACCCGGAGTCTTAATTGCTTGATTCTGGCAATTTTTTCTTTAACTCGTTTAATAGCACATGCTTGAAGAATTTGCCCAAGCTGAGTTTTTCTCAGAATGTGTATATTTAATTTGCCTTTACTTAATGTGAATTTCTGTTGCACAGAATTGTCCTTGGGAATTTTTTTTTCCAGTTAGCAGGCTTTAAAACAAGAAGCAAGGTCTTTGATATCAAACTTCTTTGCTTAGGAGATGTCACATTAAGCAGGTACGGAGACAGTGGGGGCTGACGCAGTGTTACAGCTGAGGCTCTTTGTTTGACTAGATTTCATTTGATCTTTAACTTGCATTTTTACCACGTAGAGAAGGAATTGATTAAAATTTTGGCTGTGTCAAGGTGTCATGTGAATTGCTCATTCACCAGCTCAGAGATAGGAGGCACCAGATAAGGGGGAGGCTGAGCCTGTGCAGTCAGTGTCTTGTCTGTTATTGTTGCTCTGCCAGTCGGCACTTGTAGCAGCAGTTGATGTTTTAGCTTCTACTTTACTAATCATTTTAAGAGGCATATTTTTGTTTTGGAAACAATTATTTGTAGAATTTATTTTTTACATATTTTCTCAATTTTCTTGCTCATTAATTTTGGTAAAGTCTTGTTTGACTTGCTGCGTTTTTAATCTTGATGTCCCGTGTGCCTGCCTAGCTGTTTGTTCCAGGAAAATAGTGATCTGTGCCTTGAGGTCCCATTCTGCTACATTTAAACTTTGCCTGGATGCTCATGAGACCTTATCGTCTGACTAGAAGCCTACCTTTATAGCTGGAATTTCTCCTAACTCTGGAGTTTCTTTGAGTTGTAAAGGTTAAAGTGATGTTGCAGTCTCACTTATGACTTTGATTCTAAAGTGAGAGAGAAATGAAGAGCAGTGAAGCTTCCTGTGCCCCATGATATACTGGATTCTACTGGGAAACCTAGCATTGACTGTTCGCATCTTTCTTAGATCTGTAGCATTCCTTAGATAGTGGAAATTTCGGTTTGGCTTGGTTTTTTTTTCCCCCCTAGTTCATCTGTATTGTTTATAATTTTTAACAGCACTCTGCTGAATGTTTATTTGGCTTTCTAAATAAGAAAATTAGTGGGTTGAGTAGATGAGTCTTGTTAAGCGAGCATTTTATTCACAGTATCCAAAATGGCACAGTTGTATATGGGGTTTGAAGTAATTTAATATAAATTAAGGAAACGCCCTTCCAAACTGCAGCAGATTATCTCCATCAGGTGCTGTCATCAGTCCTCCTACCTCATCTTTATCTGATCTCATTGACAAAGAGTTCCCTCGAACCCCAGTGAAGCAGCGTAGAAGCAAATTTCACAGTTTCCTGAGTGACATAAGCAGCCTCCAGCTTGCATTTGGTGTAAAACGTCCAGTCTGAGAGGATGGGACACGAAACACTGAATTAATGATGTTAGGCACAGAAGCAGCACTGGTGTGTCTGCGTTAGGGCAGTGTTAGCTGCAGGGTGTTGAGCAGGTAAACGTAGAGTTTCCAGATGCAGGTGCCTTGCTTTCACCTCCCTGTTAAAGGTGCTCTTCGGTCGCTATGTAACTGTGGGTTGAGGTAGCACTGCTGTAGTTTCACATGACATTTAAACCTATCTTCTGTTTTTATAGTATATTTTAAAAGCTGTTTGTGTGAAGGGAAACTGAGAGATGTTTTCTTTTGAGTTGATATACCTTAGAAATCTGACAGCTATTTGGAGGGGTTTGGTTTTGTGAAGCAAAATGGGGAAAATACACAGGGCTGTTAATAGGTGGGAACATTGCTGAAGTTCTGCTATGGAAATGATCTTTGCAAAGTGGGAGATGTATAATCATTTTGAATATGTCTGTGAGAGGGACTGAAAGAACTAAGCTTTGCCTGAATTCAGCCATATAATGTGAAAAAATCCACTTGTATTTGCGTCTGACATCTTCCAATTTTTTCTCTCTCCATATCTGTTGTAGTTCCTTCAGAAACAGGTAACTTTTTTGGCAGTCACTCTTATATCTCTGCATCTTGCCTTTCATAACGCTTTTGTGACCATAATATGTAACAGAAACTTAATATCTTTGCTCGCACATTTACGGCACTGTAAAACATGCATGCGTAACTTCACGCGATCATTTAGAGTATCTTGCAGTTAGTTGCTGACTTCTAGCCTCACCCTGGATTTTTACCTATTCTAAACAGTTGAAAATGCAACGACTGAAGGTTTGCTCCGGCACGTAGCTAGTGCAGCGATACGGTGACTGGTTACAAGCCATGGCAGAACGTCCCTGCCAACGGCGGCGCGTTTAGTGGCGAGCTCGAGCGCAATGTCCCTCGGAAGCGTTACCCTCCGGCTGCGTAGGTGCTGTCACAGCTTTGGGTGGCAGGCTGTGACATCCCACGAGGGGGTTGGTGCAGGTGTTGGCAGTTTCACGTGAACCCTAACTGGTGTGTCTCGTTAGGTGTCGTTCATTTGGCTTTCTTTTCTTGTTTTACTGATTCTTTTGTATGGGGAATGGATGTTTAGCTGGAAAATTCTCTTATTTTTCATACATCTTCTATAACGTTTTGTTTCATGTAAGCTTATTAACAATGCTTAATTGCTTACCCATAGTTCCTTTGGTCTTTGTGTATGTGTCGAGCGAGCGTTTCATGAGGTAGTGCTGAATGTCACTAGACAGACTAAGCAGTTAACATTTTTGTCAGATCATACCAGTATATGTGCAGAACTTCCCCGTGAAATTGGGCAAAACAGGAGTAATAAGCTATGTCAGCAGTCTCTCTTTGAAAAATCTTCAGTAATTGTTTAAAAACCGTAACATCAGTGGCCAACTTCATATGTTGTGGATTCTTTTCATGATGGCTTTAAAGTTCATTTTACTTAGCAAGATTTCAGATCCTGCCAAAAGTTAATTTAAGCCACATTCTTCCATACCTGGCACGGCCTGGTGGTTTGATCTTATCAGTTCTAAAGGTCTGAAATGTTTGCTCCTTATTTTATCAGTAGAATGATAATCGGAAATTCTAGATTGAAGACTTACTTATTTTAGACTTATTTATTTATAAGCTTATAACAAGCTTATTTTATTTTTTAAAATTCCTTCTGTTTAAGTATGACAGCTCTGAGATCTAGTTGCTTACAAATACAAAAGCTTGGCTTCCTTGATGAATGGCTTTGTACTTTTTTTTTTTATAGCACTTCAATATTCTAGTTTTATTCCTTCTTAAGTCTGGCTTGAATGAAACACAAACAAGTGAAAATAAAAGCTCATGGTCTTTTTTGTAGATGTTTTTATAATTTTTGTAAACAATAGCAAACCCTTCCTGCTTATTTATTTTCATACGTTGTTCAGAACAAGAGGTAGAGTTTCTGAATCTTGCTGGGTGATTTGGGTAAACTGCTGCTTGAAAAAGCTCTTGCAGGAAAGAAGACCCCTCCGTTCATGTCACAGTGAACGGGTGCACCAAGCTAGTGGATAATTGAGTTACACTGCAAAGGGGGTAAAAATGTGCGTGCATGCTGGTGAGTTGAGGACTTGTGGAAACAGAAGAAACTCAGATATTTGAAGGGAAACTTGTATTTTGCTCATTTAGGGAATGAGGTTGGGTTGCATTCATGCTTTTTCGATACATGCATAATATGTTGGTGTGCAGTTGTGTGGGCTGTTTGGAAAAGTATGTTCTACAAACCTTGGGTTTTCTGGAGGATTGGGGATCCTCAGGTAGCCTTTTTTTAAAAAAAAAAAACAAGCACACATGTGGTTTGTGTAAAATACTTTGAAATAACTGAAATTACTGCTATTCTTTGCCATGTTAGAAGTTAGTCTGTACTTTCATAGTTACTCTAAGTATGAAGTAGGCACCTTTCTACTGTAGTCCTATGGAAAACAGTGACTACAGGAGAAGGTGAATGGTGTTAACGTGCCTGCGAGTCGGCTGTATTTGGTTGTTCCTCAGGTAAACTAGTGTGTACGTCTTCTCGACCTTAACCCCGTTGTTTTCACCCCCATCCCTCCCCACTCCGTTGTAGATGCTTTTACTGATTCAGCCATCAGTGCTAAAGTAAATGGCGAACACAAGGAAAAGGATCTTGAACCATGGGATGGAGGAGAGACCACCGCTTCCGAGGAGCTTGAGGCGTTGGAGACAGATGTTGTAAGTAATGCTTTTATGTCCTCTGTGACAGTCTGTAGAAAGTAAGCCGTTTCACTGGACGTGCCTTGCAACAATTCCTTAATTTTAGTCCAGTAATGAACTTTTTGACTAAGATTGCTGGCCTGTGTTGTATGGATGTATATTCAGTCTTTGCTAGCAGCTGCCACAGTACTTTTTGACAATTTGAATAAGAATAGCGGGATTTCAAATGCCACTTTTGGCAAATATTGACAAATGGCAGCTGCTGTGGTAAGGGACACGCTTGACTCATGGACTGGCTGAAAGAGGAGCTTTTATTACAGCCTCCAAATTCAGCAATACACTGAAGTGATTTATGTTTAATCAGTGCATTCCTGTCTGACTATCATTGCATTTGGAAATTATGGGGAAATTATGCTTAGCTAACTGTCTCTGAGCTAAGATGAAGGAAATTGATGAAAGTCTGACCCATGACTTAATAAGCACAGATACAATCTCAGCAGCTTACGAATCGTTAGATGAAGAGTAGGGCCTCAAATGACGTTTCTTTATGTGTCACAGCAGTCAGCTTTTACTCAACCATGCATTCTTTTTAGAAAGGTATTCAGACTGCAATATGTTAAAGAAAGAAGGTAATGTTACTGATGAGAGGAGAATCCAGTCGTGTTACGGTGGAGCATATTAATTTTGTCTGGGTAGAACAGTTATCCTGTCAATTTTGGTGTACATACTGTACAGCTGAGATTTATTAGAACACTTAATACTGTCAGTGCTTTTATGAAACATTCAAAACATTTATCGTGCTCAAGTGCTGCAGTAGCAATTTTACTGAAGTGGGGAAGTTGTGCATATCAACAGGGGTCTTCTGCCTGTCGTGTGTGTCTCTCAGATAATTGCATTAGTAGTGCTTTTGAAAAGTTTCAGCACTTGGCACAGCAAGGGACACTTCTAACGTTCAGAAGTGTCAATTTGCATTTTTTGGAAAAGGGATTCATGTATGTATTTCGTGCTAGCCAATAATCTAGTATGGAGTGGGCATGGTACTTAAAAAAAAAAAAAAAACAAACCAAAAAAAACCCGAACCAACTCTCAAAACGAAGACAAATACACACAACGAACAAAAAACTTGCTTTTGAAGGTAAAATCTGTGCATCCAATGAACAAAGTTCCCTGAAATAAATTGTTGCTTTAGTAACTTGGTTATCTGGACAGTGAATTCGTAGGCCCAGGAAAAAGGGGCAAAAGCTTTAACTTCTGCCATCAGCCCTTAATTTTAAGGGAATGTGTTTCCAGTGTCATTTTGAAAAACGAGCATCATTTTCTTCTAGTCTAATGGATGGGATCCCAATGACATGTTTCGTTACAATGAAGAAAATTATGGTGTAGTATCAACTTATGACAGCAGTTTATCTTCTTATACGTAAGTTCAAAAATATTTTGTTACTAGATTTGTATTTAATGTTCTCCCTGGTTTGACAAACTTTATATTCTGAAGATAATTTTACATACTTTCTAAAGTTGTGGAATCGAATAACTGAAAAAGCAATGAATGAATAGTGCTTAAGAAACCTTGCCAGAGTTCTGTGTAGATGTAGTAATCATTATATATTCCCTTAAATGGGCACAGTTCATTCCCATTGCAACATTTTCCGAATTTAGGCATGCAATAATGCTTATTTCTTACAAAAACTGTTATGAATAGGATGGAAAATACCAAATTGTGAAACTGTCTTTACATAGCTACTATACCTATAGTTTGTGTTTAACTTAGCAGAACAGTTTGACTAAATCGTAATTTTATTGAGACAATTGATCTGATAGATATTGGAATGTTGAAATGTGGTTGATAACTAAGAGGGGGTTGTGTGCTGTGATGACTTGTTTAGCAGACTTGTCCAGATCTAAACTAAAGTTTTACTTACAGTATACTAACAACTTGAAGACAGAAGTAGTATAAAGCCTACTCTGGCTACTTTGGCAGCGTGGACCTGTTCCCAGTCGTCTGCAGCTATAATGTTAACTGCAGAACAAATCCATTGCAGATGTTCAACAGCCATTGTGAAATGTCTTTAATGTTTTCCCACTCTTTTAACCCCCAAATTGTCAGCTTCTTTTTGAACATCAAGGAATTGCAGTGAATGTTTCGATTCTTATGTGTGGCATTGGAGCGCTTGTCTGCAGGTCTCTGGTTCAACAATTTTATTTTTACTATTTTGTTAAAATAGACCTGTAACGTGGTGATAATCAAAGTGGTTTAATCGGCTTACATTTGAATCCTGGGAAGCTGTTCTTTCATATACTTCACTGCTCTAAGTACTTTTTGTACTTTTGAACTTTAGTCTTCCATCTTTCTGCTTTATGGATATTAATGAAAACAGATTAAAAACATGACGATGGCTTTAAATTGCCGGAGACAAATTCCATTGTTTCCTAGTCAAGCAGCTTGCTTAGCCTATCAGTCTGCTAAACTGGGGAACTCTTTTCCCGATTCTCCTAGTGTGTGATGAGCAGTGGTGTAGCTAAATGCTTCTATGTGCAACTGAGGGATTGTAAAGGATTTATTGTTGGATTGTTTTCTCTTCCTAGAGCTAAGTGTTAGTGGGTATAGCTTTTCAAACTGCATAAAGGTACAAGTTTGTGTCCTGGCAAGCATACTGCATTAATATGTTGATCAGCTGCTTCTCTCATCACTGGGGTTCTGAACAATGTCATCTTGTCCATCCCCTTTATTTCATCCTTATTTCATTCCCTGTTAGAAAATGTAAAATCCTTCTTTTGCTTGTTTCAGTTGCCATCAATGCTACTGCATACATACCTTCATTTTTTTTCAGTCACTTTAAATAAATGAGGATGTATTGAGTGTTCTTTCTTATGTGTATATTTAATACAGGGTAAGCGAGGCCCATGACTTCAGGTTTGTATGCATTGTGTTCATGCATGTCTTATTTGAGCCAAAACTTTATGCTGAAGGGTAAGGTTTTTCTTTAATATTCTTGCAGTTACCATTGATAAGGCCAGTAGATGTCTCGACTGGCCAAAAATGTGTGTGTGGGGAAAACTTGTGATGCAGTAGCTGATTGCTGGCTTGGAATTTGGCAAAGCCACTTGTTTTCCTAGTTCTGCCACCAACACTTGAGTAATCTTGCATATATTATTTCATACTTGGCTTGTATCCGCACCTACTTTCTTTGTTGTTCTTTTTTTATTATTCAAAATATGTGCAGTAGTGATTATATAATGCCCAGCATAGCATGGTCCAAGCCTCAGCTGTGTTCTGTATTTTTATATAGTTTATTCTAAAGTAAGGTTGGATGAAACAGCTTTTGGAACTCAAAATTGGAATCAGGCACAAAGCACAGAGTTGCTTTACAAAACCTGATACTTTAACTAAAATTAGAACAGGTAAAAATCAAAACCATAGGTGGGTGGAAGGAAATGCCCAGTATGATGTCTGTCTCAAGTTATCTCTTTTCAGTATTTCATTATACTGAATTCTTATATGGAGAGGTGGCTTTCATGAGGGAGCTACGTGTGCTTTTTGCAAAATGGTGTTACCTAATACAGATACACAGAATTAATGGTTTTGAGGTCCTAGGACATGGCAGATGAGTCATGGGTTTCTGGTCCCGTGCTCTAACGTATTGCATTCATCTTTTCTGAAGTTATTCATAACAGGAAGAGCTGAAATTCTATGGTTGGAATTATCAAAGGATTAGAGCATGTAACTCTTTAATTTCAGTAGGATTGGGGACTCTTGTGTCTGTTGGGAATGTGTAAATAGCTAAAGAAAATCAAAGTTGTTAGGCAGCTTCCTATCTGAACAACAGACTGAGGCTCTTTATTACTAACGTACTCAGCTGTGTTAGGAGTTGGAGCCTTTGCATAGCTTTAGGGACTGGGGATTTTGCAAGTCATATGGAAAGCTCTGCACCCTGCCTCCAGCTGTCTAGGCAGGTAAGTGACACGGGATTTGCACATGGTATCAAGCCAGTGCAGGAATATTATCAGACTAAAAAAGGCAGCAAGCCTACTGCCTTAAAACCGAGGTCGTTTTATTCTGACTTGGTTAGAATTAGCGCTGTGTAATTTTTGTAGCTCCTTTGTGCTTTTGAATGCATTTCAGAGATTCTTTTTCTTTCTGTTGTCTTTTAGGGTGCCATTAGAAAGAGATAATTCAGAAGAGTTTTTAAAACGGGAAGCCAGAGCAACTCAATTAGCAGAGGAAATTGAATCAAGTGCCCAATACAAAGCTCGGGTTGCCTTGGAAAATGATGAAAGAACAGAAGAAGAAAAATATACTGCTGTTCAGAGAAATGCTAATGAACGAGAAGGACATGGTGTGAACACTAGGTACTTGCATACACTAGGAATAGTATTTTCATTTAAATAATGTATGTATTGGTACAGTAGCAATGTACTCATTGAAACTGCGCTTTTCCAGCAGGGCTGATTAGGTTGGGAACCTGGTGTAGACAATTATGTGCTGGTTTTGGCACTCAGGCTGACTTGTACACCTCTGCCTGGCCCTGTACTATCTCTGTAGGGAAACAAACTTTCCCATTCTGGTACGTCACTGTGGTGAATTCATACCAAATTACAGGAGAGGGCAGTGGTTTCGATATGCCATGGAGAATTCCAGGCATTAATACTAAATCGCTCAGTGTCTGTGGCCTCATAGAAAGTAGAGTGTGTGGTCAGTATCAAAATCCCATTTATGAGGTGAATGTTAGGTCAACATCTGATAGTATTTAGAATTTTCCTTTAGCTTGGTTTGAGGAAGACAGAAAATACCAGCAGAGCGCTTCATCAGGTACTTTTCATTTTCTTTCAGTTCTGTCTTAACTCTGATAGAAATTTGCTGTGTTTCAGAGAAAATAAATACATTCCACCTGGACAGAGGAATAGAGATGTCCTGCCCTGGGGAAGTGGAAGACAAAACTCACCAAGGATGGGCCAGTCTGGATCAGGCCCACCGATTTCAAGGTCTGGATCCCATACTTCAGAATTCAGTCCTAACTCTGGAGCAGATCAAAGAGTAGTTAACGGAGGCAAGTATCTGAAGTCTAAATGAATGTGCCTTATAAAATTACAGTTGGTTATCTAATTATGTTGTATGGTGTGGTCTTAGGATATGCATTTCATAAGCTAGGTTACATTCATCATTTAACGCAGAGGTGGTGATTTTAATTTGGGTTTAACTTACTCAGAATGCAGCACCTGTTTGGGTGCACATTGTGTAGCTTTGTGGAGTAGAAATGTCACTCGTTTTCCTTCTCAGACACCTTTGTCTTAGATGATGGTGCGGTATGCAGTTTTAAAGATCAAAAATTGCTTTATGTATTACTACTGCTAAGCTGTGTGTGGAGGAGTAGCAGTGCTGACACCTAGTGAAAGGGAGGTGGCAGCCAAGGAAGCATCACTCTTCCTTTCTGGTGCATAGATCAATTCCGTTTCCCATGAAAAAAAATAAAGCAACTCGCTGGCTTTACTATGATGTGGGGGAAAAAAATCATTGTTGGGAAAGTCAGAGAAGTGTTAGAGGAAAAGGAATCAAAAGCCTTCTCTCCAAATAGCTATTGAGTATTTTCTGCTATACACGTGGGTAATATTTGTCAACAGACATCACTAAGCCCTGTATAGCAGGAATCGGTGTTTCATAAACCAAACACCATTTTTTGAGACGGATTTCAGCAGTAGCCTATCCTTGAGGCATTACTTTTATAAGTTAAAAGTGCTGTTACATGAGATTGGTGTGAATAAATGGAAAATGCAGAATACTCAAGTGCCTCTATCTGGAGAGGAAGTCTGAGAAACATCTAAAGGTAAGTGAGACTTCCTTTTCAAACACAGAGTCAGCTGTATGAAGGATGTACAGCTGAGTCTTGCCCAAACAATGCTAACCTGGAAATTTGTTGGTAGTATTTGTGGTTTCTGTCATCCTATTACTCTGCTGAATGGATATCACGTACCTAAAACATTCAGAATGGCTTGTGAAGTCGATTTCTTTGGTTTGGAAACAATGAACCCCATATCCTAGATTAAAATACTACATTAATACTTCAGATAACTGCTAAAGGCAAAAATGTCAGGATTCAGACACTGAACACCGCTGTTTTTTGTAAAGATACAGCTCCTAGAAGTGATATTGCTCATCGTTTGGTTTGAAAGTAGCAGTTTGTGTAGTCAGCACTATCTGTGAACCGCTGTTTGAGAACCTCTGGTAGCTATTTAAGGACCTGTCAAGAGTGATGCGTGCTGTAGAACATATATATGCCAGGCTAACAGATCAAACTTTACTGTCTATTCCTTAGTAGTATTTGTAGATCCTAATTAACCCTTTGGGGAGCTGGTGACATTCAGATGTTAAATTCGACCTGAAGTGGAGGCAGTAACCTCGCAGAGACTATTTTATTGGTTGCAGAAATAAACTAATCTATCCCCAAAGGGTTAAACATGAAAAATCATTTTGTCATATTTTACTTTTTTTTTTCTGTTGACCTTTTTCCCCATAATTTTTCTTTAGTTTTTATACTTTCCTTCATATCATTTGTTCTGTCAGGTGTTCCCTGGCCATCGCCTTGCCCATCTCCTTCCTCTCGCCCACCTTCTCGCTACCAGTCAGGTCCCAACTCTCTTCCACCTCGGGCAGCCACCCCTACACGGCCGCCCTCCAGGCCCCCCTCGCGGCCCTCCAGGCCCCCGTCTCACCCCTCTGCTCATGGTTCTCCAGCTCCTGTCTCTACTATGCCTAAACGCATGTCTTCAGAAGGTACAATACCACGATTTGTTCATGTTTTTGTTTGTCTTTGTTTAACTCCTTTGTGAGTTTAATTACAAAGTTGTTTTTCCTCTTCATTACTTAACCTATAATTTGTGTTTAACTTTAGTTTACCAGACTATTTCTATTAACCTTTTTATTTGAAGAGCTTTACAAAAACAAAATAAAGCTGTGAAATTTCCCAAGTTGGTATGAAATAAACTCAGCTTTGTAAACGCTGCTCAGTGTCTTAACTTAACCAACAGCAACATGCAGGACCTGATAACTTTTGAGGGCATTTTTAGGAATACAAATCTATATAAAATACCCAATATTTTAACACAGTTGTTCCCCAAAAAGCAGTTTCAAATTTAACTAAATGATTGAATTACCTTTCGTGAAAAAAAACAACAACAACAATAATAATAAAAATGCTGTATTCAGAGAGGTGCACTGTGGAATGGGATGGGATAAGCTGCTTCAAAGGTGAATCTGTAGAAAATTTGAGATCTGTTTCCATTGAGGCAGAACAGTAAGTCAGCTCCCTGGCAGTCAGTAATATGCAGAGAAAGGTGAACTCATCAGTCTTTGGTAACTATATGCAGAAGTATCTGGACTAAATTTATTTGTCTTCTGAGGGTACAGTAAGGAGCACGTTTTTAAGTTTTTTGTTTTATTTTACTTAAGTGCACCCAAAAACCAGCCTGCACAGCACGGTCTAGCAAGCCTGGAAAAATGCAAACTGGTGACACTAAACTCCCTGCAAACTGGCAGTCTGTGTTGTAGCTGGAACCACAGGAGAGAGAACAGTCGTCCCGCTAATTGAATCAGTAACACTGTTCTGCAGCTTGCCTGATAAATGCTCAAGATGGTCCCTAACCAGAAATTGGGTGGTAGTAAGCGTGTCTGTACGGCGTGCTACTGTCAATTTATCAATGTGAGCTTTTTTTATGGACTAAGATACTGAGAATCCGCGTACAAATTCGTGTATTTTTTTCGCACTTGGCGATTGATTTGTCAGGCATGCAGTGAACTGCTGCTTACTGCAACATTTAATTTCTGCTACTAGAAGAGGATTGCTGGAAAGTGTGTATTCTTTAAAATGCTGGAAAGTGTGTATTCCTTAAAATACTTGCCTGTATATAATTTGGATTGAAGTGTACTTTAGATTCATGGTTAAAATAGAGGCTGACATTTAAAGATTTTTGTAACCAGAAGAGGTACTTGATATTTCAGAGCCTTATCTGAAAGCAAAAAGCCGTTATCTGAACTTTTCTCTATTGTTGACTTACATTAAAAATGAACTGTAATCAGCCAGATTGTCTTCTGTTCATACACAGTTTTTCCTTTTGAAGTATCAACGTTTGAGTGATCTTGTAAAGACAATGTTTGTTAGGATGTAGAAACGGTATTGCTGCTTAGGCTTGAGCATAACCATTCTGTGGCAGCTGTGTAAGCTGTTCAGAATTGCTGTATTCACTTATGACTTTAGCTTCTGGCTTTAAACATGCATGACTTGAACCTTGGGATAACAATAACTTGTTTAGTTGCAATTTTGCTGACTTGTAAATGAATTGTGACCTACTGCAGGCAATTTAGCCTCGGTGCAGAATGCTCTGCTTAAATTCCCCAAGAGCATTGGTCAGCCAGCGGTGACTACTCTGTAAATGCTTGGTATCACTGACCACCTGACAAAAGCGATGGAAATTTTTTCTTTTCTGGAAAGCGTTTGGTAGCCTGGAACTGTGCTTATCCAGGGGCAGCTGGGCCACTAAGCTTTTTGGCTTGTCTTGCAGTAAGCAGTATTCGATACTTGGATTCAAATATTTTAAATCCAAGACTTGCATATCTGTTTCAATTCTGATAAAGTTTATAAATATCAATGAACGTGAGCTGTCATAGCGAGGTGACGAGTGTGTTGGTAGTCTGGCTGGACCAATGGCTGGACCTTTTTAGTCTCGTGGATCCCCGGTTCTAGTCGATGTCAGTGTAAATTTCTTGACTGTATTACTCCATTATTGAGAGTTATCAGATTAAATCCAGTTTTAAAACGAGATAGTATGTTTGGGTACTCTTAGTGACGGACGTTAAGTACTTATTGTGTGGGGTTGTCTTCTTTTTCTCAGGGCCTCCACGGATGTCTCCTAAGGCACAACGGCACCCTCGAGGTCACAGAGTCTCTACTGGTAGGGGTACAATTTCAAGTGGCTTAGAATTTGTATCTCATAATGCACCAGGGGAAGCATCTACTACTGCAGTGGCACGAGGCAGCCCTTCAGGTGGGACGTGGTCATCAGTTGTCAGTGGGGGTAGGTAAAGCTTGGCTTATTGCAGATGGCTTGCCAGGGGTACTTTAGAGTGTGAATGCTAAGCAGAATACTGCATTTGTAGACGATTCAGGCTCTGAATAAACACTGGTCTGCTAACTTAGCTTGCTTAGATGATGCGGGAGAAGGATGTTCCCAAATAGCTTAGTAAAATAGCTGGTGAGTTGATCCTTCAAGTGCAGTGTTGTTTTAAATGCAGAGAGGTTAAGTCAGATGGTGCCTGAAGAGAACAGAAGGAATTAGGGAATTAGTTGTTGAAAGAAGTAATTTTCAGGAAAGTTATTGAAAAGAAGAAAAGTTACATACGTTCCATTTGGTTAATGGCAGTGTAACTGGGTTGTGGTTTACAAATGAAGGAGGTGTTTGGATAGAGGAAGGTTGGTGTTAAGAAGATTAAGTGATGTTCAAGTTAAGTTCGATATGTTTTTCCTTTAAAAATGATACAGGTTTTAAGTGGTCATTTTGTGTTTGTCGAAGTCCTGTAGTAGCAGATATAGTCAGCGTTTCTTATTTTTGAATCAGTTAACATCTTTATTTGTAATACTTCAAAATTAAAGCTCAGTCTTGTGACACAGGCCCTAGTCTTGAGCTTCTGTAGTTGGGACCGTGTTCTAGTGAGTCGTCAGCAGCTGGGCGCCTGCTTGAGTCAAAGGGCAAGTGAGTGACAGTTTAGAGTCTGATACTTCTTAGCAGTGCTAGAATTCCGGAGGAGTGTAGTGGGAATGCATTTTTCAGGAAGAAGGTACAAGTTAGACCCCCATAGACCTGTTGCCTTGTGGAAAAGATTTAAACTCTTCTATTCTGGCATTATTTCTGCTTCATCTTCCCTCCCCACCCTCCACTTTAATATATTATTAACATGCAAGTAGGACTGTTAAACGACTTACCTTTCTCCTCGCTCACTTGAAGTTAATATATGATATAAAGCAGCTAATTAACCACGGTGGGATGAGCAGGAAGCAGGAGGTACAACTTACCATTTAAAGAATATACATCTTTCCTTGCTGCGTTAACACAGGGGCAAAAGTATACATCAAATAATCTTCTTTCAATAGGATATGTTGTTTTTTTTTCAGCTGGCAAACCTCCAAAAGAGGACGCTGTAAAACGGATGTGTTTTTTCAGCCCTTTTAAAAAACTGTTTTACATCTGTTTGTATGGAGACCTGACCACCTTTTCTGTTCTGCCTGAAACTGTGTTAATGTGAGCTGTTGTAGTGGTACTACGGGGGGGCTGGGGAGCATTTTGCACTTTCATGGTGGGACTACAGGGCAGTGATATGTATTAGGGGACAATCTGCAGAAAAATTGCACCACTTATCTGAAATGGTGCATTGTAAAAAGCTAGGAGATGTACCTGGAAGGTAAACAGGTTTTCACTTACTATATAATGTTCCACTAAGTATTTTAAAGCATGTTTTTAGTCATTTTAAAAATAAGCAAACTGCTGAGCAGATGGGGAAACTTATCCTATAACTATTTTTTCCTGTTTGTTTCTAGTTCCGAGATTATCCCCTAAAACACACAGGCCTAGGTCTCCAAGGCAGAGCAGCACTCCCACGGGACCAGCTCTGCCTTCTCCTCAGCCTGGTACTATTCCCGCTGAATCTGTTGCCATGCCTGTTCCAGCTGCCTCTCCTACACCTGCCAGCCCTGCATCCAACAGAGCAGTTACTCCTTCCAGTGAAGGTAAGTTACTCCCACTAGCTTGCAAACGCTCCCTTTCACTCATCCCTGACAATGGCTATAGAAGAGCAAAGCTGCTTTCTAAATGATAGGAAAACTTCTGATGTGTTTAATTTTACTGTGTAGTGAGACCCCTTCCTCGTAGTGCTAGCTTTAAACTAAGGATGGAGAGAGGCTTTTGATAAGTATGTATGCTTAATTTCTTCTGCCCTTTAAGGAGTATGGGCTTACAGGTGTTTGACTTCATTGAGGACGTTTTTCAAACTGAGTGCCTGGCTGTTTTCTAATTTAAAGAAATGTAGGCCACTGGTTTCAAAGGATATTTTGAGAATAGTGAAAAGAAGGAGAGAGGGGGGGGAGACACATTCAAGAGCACAGTCAAATGTCTGAGAACTCTCAAATCTTTGTAGCGTTCTGCGTGAAGAGCTTGGATTATTGAAAATAATTTGCTCTCAGTTTGTAGATTTTTCAGCCTAGTTAAAGTTCTGTGTATGATGAGAGGGCTGTGTTTGTCTGGGACTTTCTCATTTGGTTTAAAGACAGTAGAGTGAGGAAGGGGGGAGAATAACCCTCCAGGCCCTAACCAGGTGTCAGAAAATGTGTAACTTAAGGTTTTTCTTTTGTAAGCTAAACATGGTTAAATCTCTCTTCTCCTTCTATCTTGCCATCTCTCTTGGGTCAGTTCGAGTTGTGTGTAAGAGAATAACTTTGGCAATTTCTTTTCTAGCTAAAGATACAAGGCTTCAGGACCAGAGGCAAAATTCTGCAACTGGAAACAAGGAGAATATAAAGCCAAGTGAGACTTCTCCTGTTTTTCCTAAACCTGAAAGCAAAGGTTTGTGTTAAAAGTTTTCATATATACTTGAGAAAAGCAGGAATTCCAAGCACTAAACCTGCCATATTGACTGATTTAGCGTTTTAAGGAAGACTTGGAGCAATCTGGCCTGCGACTTCTGTAGCGAAAATTCGGTCGTGCAGTTAGGAAGGGGCAGGCCTACAATTTGAAATGTTTTTCTTGACTCGTTTCATCGACACAAAGTGTAGAGCTGCTCATGTGAATGCTCTTTTTTTTCTTTCTCTCTCTCTCTCTTCCCCCCCCCCTTCCTTCTTTCTTTTTCCTGCTCACAAAGCTGCTTTTTAGCTGTCTTCGGACTGAATGGGTGTTTCTGCTTTGAGCTATGCTCACAATACTTCTGAGCGCCGTGGTCAGCATAGTTTTTTGCAACTGTACTGCTTCCTATTATGCCTTAATTTTGGCATTGTTTTTTCATTCAGTTCTCAAAAAAAATCTTTTCCTGTTGTTGAACTTAGAATCTTAGAATCATTTTGGTTGGAAAAGATCTTTAAGATCATTGAATCCAACTGTAAACCTAACCTTGATCAGTGTTTCACCTTTACTTGCTGTGTCTTGAAACGCTGGCATGTCGCATTTTGAGGGTTTTATCGCGTGCTGCTTTGTGTTCAGCTGAGTTCTGCAGTCCCTGCACCTCAGGGCTTCTGTCCTGGTGTGATTCGTTAGAGCTATAGATATGTCAGTTACGTAATGCTGTGGTTTCACAGAGTACTTTTGTGTGCTCATACACGTAGTTCATGGAATTACACCAAGCTACAGATGAAATGATATCACTGTATTTCATTTTTAGATATGCAGGCGTTACCTTTTTGCAGCCTTAGTAATGTGTAGGGGTTGTATGTAAGACTTGTGTTAAAAACACTTGGACAATGTTGGTCTTATGTTTGGCAGGTGTATCTCCAATTGTTTCAGAACATAGAAAACAGATTGATGATTTAAAGAAATTTAAGAATGACTTTAGGGTAAGTTTCTCTGTATATTAACTTAATGGTATCATAGTTCTAATGTGCATCCAGATTGTTTTAGTGACTTGAATACACTGAATGTGTTAGCAGGAAAACAGGTCCTTACTATTCATGCTTAATTTATGAAAATATCTGTAAGAACTCATGCTACATATTATAAAATCAATGCTGACTCTTGCTAGTACAATTGCCTAATACACGTAAATGTGCATATTGACTGGACACTGAAAATAGTACTTGAAACCTGTTTGATTGTTAGGTACAAATAATTAGCACATCTCACTCCATATGGAAGAGCTGTTTCAAAATTACATAAAGGGTTTTGCTGAGGAAAATTGAAGATGAATTCGTATTACTTATTTCCTGGTTATGATGGTTTATTACAGCAGATTAACTTTTCAAGTGTTACTCTTAAGTCACACAGGGGAGTGAGTCCAGAGGATTGTCTTAAGCTTTCCTGTCGCTTCCTAATCAACCTATAGGTCAGTTGAGTCGCCAAATAGCTTCTTTCACAGTGTAGGCTTAAGACATTTTCAGTGTTCATAGATGTCTTTTCTAGCAGAAATGGAAATGTATGTTTTAAAAGGTAATTTCCAGATGATTGAGGCCTATGGGACTGTATTTTACTCTGTGTATGTGATAGCATTAGGTTGTCTCTCCCTAGTTCTGTGTATCAATTTACTGAATATATTCTTTGGGGTTTTTTTTTCAGTTACAGTCAAGTTCCTCTTCAGATGCAGTGGATCAGCTGCTAAACAAAACCCGAGAAGGTGAAAAATCAAGAGATATAGTTAAAGAAAAGACAGAAACAAGCCCTAAAGAATCTATCGTAGAAACTGGCAGTAATACTAACTCTAACGGTGGCAGTAGCAAACCTAATAGTCCAAGTATTTCTCCTTCAATAAGTAATAGTTCTGAGCAAAAGCGAGGGCCTGAGGTAACTTCACAAGGTGTACAGACATCTGGGCCTGGAAGTAAACAAGATAAAGAGGATAAAGAGGAGAAGAAGGATACTTCTGAGTGAGTAATTATGCCTTTCAGAATAAGCACGTCTGTTATTAGCCTTTAGCCATTTGTAGAAAGAACTATTGTGAATGTGTAATATCTTACTGTTTATATGGGTGATACAAATTCTCTGTGTTACACAGAGGAGACAACAGCTGAAATGACTGCACTGAGAGTTACCTCGTGAGTCAGTGGCATTGCTGCATATAGAATTCTGGTCCTGTTGATGTCCTCCTAGATCTGATCCTAGATCCGTATCTAAATGCTTATTTAAATGTTTTCCTGGCTCACGTGAGCTGTAGTATCAACAGCAGGAGAACTTTTTTATAGACAAATGCAGTAAGAGTACTGTCAGCAAGAGTGGTTTTTTGCATGCCATTTGTTGTGTGAGTTCTCAACAACCTGACTCACAGATGGAAATGAGGTATTAAATCTCTTCTAATTTTTAATTGTTAGGGAGTTCTACAGATATGCTTGTAACAGAATAATGCTGAATGTAACTTTTTGTTCTTTGCGTTTAGGCAAGTTAGAAAATCAACACTTAATCCTAACGCAAAAGAGTTCAACCCTCGATCTTTTGCTCAAGTAAGTTATTTGATACTGTTTAACGTTGCCTTTGTGTAGTTCTTTATAAGTAAACCTTTCACTTGGAGAATAATCAAGCTAATCTTGCACACGCATTGCTGAACTCTGTTTGTAGCCGAAACCTTCTACTACACCAACCTCCCCTCGTCCGCAAGCTCAGCCTAGCCCCTCCATGGTGGGTCATCAGCAGCCAACCCCAGTGTACACTCAGCCTGTTTGTTTTGCACCAAATATGATGTATCCGGTTCCAGTGAGTCCAGGCGTGCAGGTAAAGTGCAGCGTATGCTCCAAACTCGTTAATGCTTTTCCAGTGATTGTCAGCAAGTTGGGGAGACTTAGGAGATCTGAGTTAACACAGTGAAATGATACAGCCTGTATTACTGTTGTAAATATAGGCACAATTACATTGTTGTTAACTTGTAGCTACGTAAATACTGACTTTTCCCAGTGGTCCCTCAACCTAGGTGTTCCAGTAGTCTCAAACACTTGTGAATTCCAGCAGTTCTTACTCATATTTATTGCTAAACTGCGCAGATTTCCTCCTCGGTCCTCCAAGCGTAGTCTTACTCTCTTAAGTTTTAAGCAACTGTTTCTTCATCCTTAGCTTCCAGCAGTGTCCCACTAGTTCCTGATTGTTGTAGGGATTACTAGGATTTCAAATCTAACTGTTGGAAAACAATCTGATTTAGTACATTGCTTGAAGTAGCAGTAGTATCATTACTTGACTGGTTATTGCAAACCATATGGTCTTAGTTGTTTGTACATGCAGACTTAATCACAGGAATCCAAGAAAATACCATAGGTTAGAGAGAGTTCACTAAACCATGTAACATAACAGAGTAAAACACATCAAAAGCTGAGTGGGGCCCCCACCCAGATGCGCACACTCACTTCTTAAAAGAATATCATAGCTTCAACTCCTCCTTCTCTTGCAGCCTTTGTATCCTATTCCCATGACGCCCATGCCAGTGAACCAAGCCAAGACATATAGAGCAGGTAAAGGTGAGAATAATACTGCCTGTTTGGTTCTTAGTCTGCATGCAGCATGAATAAATTACAAATGTTTGTGTGCTTTCTAATCCGTATTTGTTTGGTTTCCATTGATATTTTAAATGCTGTTTTTAATAAAGGGAAGTAAGTGGAAGTGCTAGTGCGTTTCTAGATAAACTAGTTCAGCCAAAACATGATAAGTTTGAGTAATGGGGAGTTGCTTGGTTTGGAATCTGATTTGACAAACGGGAAAACATCTCTGTTACTTGGAACGTCAGGGTAAGCTGTTCTCCTGTATTTTGTAAACGTTAACGGTTTTGTTTAAAGGGAACTTTCTGCACTGGTTTACAGCAGAGCCCTGAATGGTGCTTTAGTAGAGGGTTTTTTTGTCAACAAGCAAAAGCACAATTTCTTCCTTAAGAGTATGCTGTGCTACTCTTCCGGAAAGAACTTTCTGCTAGTTCCAGTTTGTTCTCTTGCATTCCTTCTGCAACAGTAACTGAACAGCTGGACTAACAATACCACATTCTTAACAAGTGACACCTGTGGCTGTGGAGGCGAGAACATGTGTGGCGAGATGCACTCTGTTCTGTGCAGTGCAGCGAGGGAGCCGAAAAATGGTGGTCTTGTTTTTACAGTCATGTTTCGGATAATGCTCTGATTCTACACAGTGCATGCTTTCTTGCAGTTTTACACAGTGGTTCACGATGATAGGTTCCAGTGCTGCAGCTCCAGTCACTGGAGGAGGAAATTGTTTAAAAGAGTTCTGCTGTTTAAAAAGAAACAAGTAGCCTTTATGAATGTAGGGAAGACAAAAACCTGCAATGTATTTCGAATTTGAAACACACTAACTTTACTGTGGCCAACCCATGAAATCTTCTGGTTGGTAACACTGATTGTTTTAATCAGAAATATATTGCTGCATGCTCACTTGCTGTGTGAGGCCGCTCTCCTAGTCTGAATTATTTTTTGAAGTTCTGTTGTTTTCTGCGTACCCATTCTGTATGCAGCATAGCCCTGAAGGAGCTGCGTGGGTTACAGTTCAGTGCCTTTACGTGGTTCGAGTTGCATCCTGTATTTACTTTTTTCTGTTGTCGATTTGCAGTGTAAATACAGTCATCACTGAGTGAATTTACTGACATCTTCGACATTTCCCTCCTTTCCTCTCTGTAAGGGGTCTGTTGCACACCGCAGTGGAGTTTACAGGTGCTTGAGTTAGCATAGTTACTAGTTGCAGTGTCACTGCAGCGAGCTGGAGCTCACTTTGAACTCTCATGCCCTGTCGCTCTGTAGGGAATTAGTTTGTTCTGAGTGCCTTGCTGCTGTGGTTCGGTTGGTCATCTTACCAGGATAGCTCAGGGCGTCCCACACTACAGTGCTCAGCTCTCTTAATCTTCCTTTCCTCTAATTATTCCTACTCCTTATATGTTGACTTGTCCCCTTCAGTGTTGACTGCGACCTAAAAGTTGCTTTCTGCTATCCTGAGGGGTAGCACAGAGCTTAAAATATGTGAAGACCTCAAATTGTGGCACGTGGAGACCTTTATTCTTAACTCCTCAGCCATAAGCACAAGTAATGTTAACAGACTCGGCTTTACAGTTGATGGAACAGTTGCTGAGTAGTAAATTAAGCCTTTTGAAGGGGATGGGATAAAATTTGATTAAAGTAGGTATCCTGATACAATCTTTCTCTTGTTACTGATTCTTACCAGGCTTTCTCTCCCTCCACCTTTCCTCCTTCCTTCACAAAAAAAGCAGGCCTGTGTTTGTGGCCATATGCACGGCTCAAAGGCAGTGACGAAAATCAAATGTTTCTTGGAGGAACTCCTTTCCGAGCCGTTCCTTTTTGATAGAGCTCAATATGTGGTTAAAGGCGAGGGGTGAGGATGTGCCACTTGGTCACACAGACGTCGTAATGTAACGCCTTTCAGGAAGACCGTCATTCTTCACCCTGTGTTTCTAATGTCAGGCACTCTTTGCTTTGTAGTACCAAATATGCCACAGCAACGGCAAGACCAACATCATCAGAGCACCATGATGCATCCTGCCTCAGCAGCAGGCCCTCCGATTGTAGCTACGCCACCTGCTTACTCAACACAATATGTTGCGTATAGTCCCCAGCAGTTTCCTAATCAGCCTCTTGTGCAGCATGTGCCACACTACCAGTCTCAGGTAAGAGTCCTTTTGGCGTACGTGGCAAGTCAAACCAGAAATAATTAAGTGGCTCAGTGCTAAATACCCTATTGTTTCCCATCACAAGAAGTCGGAACACTTTCTGTGTTCTAGAACATACTTGGTGGTGTTGTAATGGGGCTTCAAAGCCTGTAAGAAATTTTAAGGTCGGTTTAGAAGCTGGCATTTATTATTGATACTACCTTTTTAGCTCTTTGAAGAATTCCTTTCAGGTCATGGCCAGTTCATCTCCTACTTATGTGTTCTAAAAATAAACTATTTGATGTACTCCTCTTAATTCAAAGGCTTTTAAATATACATGTGTAGTTGGATAAATATATAATTGCATACATAAGCTTACTACATTATTAGAGTGGCAAAAATTAGATCTGCCAATGGCTTTTGTCAGTTTCTAGCCCACTGCAGAAAACGTCCTTACGTTTTTAGAAGCAATTGGGGTAATTGTGATAGTACGAAATCTCCAGTATCCTCTGCATTCGAGTAAGACCAAGCTATTACTGTTTTTAAGTACATAATTACTGGTTAGATGACACTAGTTTCTTGGTAATAGTCCTCCAATTAACTGTCTGTTTTCTTATTTCTGTTGAATGCAGCATCCTCATGTTTATAGCCCTGTAATACAGGGCAATGCTAGAATGATGGCACCACCAGCACACGCACAGCCTGGTTTAGTATCTTCTTCTGCAACACAGTATGGTGCGCATGAACAGACGCATGCTATGTATGGTAGGAAACGTTTTGTGTTATATGTAACTTTTTAAGTTCTTACGTTGTGCAGGGATGTATTTAATCTCAAGCTTCAAACGTGGGTATCACTCAGATTACACCAGTAAATGTGGTTTATGTTTCATAAGATGATGAGCAGAGCGTTGAAAACTGAGCCACCTGGTTAAAATGAAAACTCAAGTATGCTGATTTCAGTAGGATGCCAGTGACCAAGATGAAATTTCAACCTGGGAGCTGCTAAAGAATATCTGCTGAAAGAAGTTTGTTCAAGTTCTCTTGATGCTCTTGACACAACATCCCTTGATTGTTTCTTGATTATAATTAGGACTTGTTTTATTGCAAGGCTATGACCTCAGTTTCAAAACTTGACTTTAGTTCTGACAACTAGTGAAATGCTGTCTTTATGATACTACTAGCATTATTAACAGTGTGAACACTGCTGTTTAAGCAAAATAAAACATGTGTTGCTTACCTTTCTTTTTTGGTAAGTCAAGAATAAGTATACGAAACAGCTCATGTATTGCTCTGACTTTGACAGTTAGTCTCCAGCACTATCAGATGGGCATGTTTCACCTACAGTGAAGTGCTGAAAATGTGGGTTACCTTGTTACAAAGTAAAATGTGAAAGAACTTCTAAAGCGTTATAAATGTATGATAAATCAATGCCCAATTCAGAGGAAAAAAAACTCACTGCAAAACATGCTATTGAAAGAGGTAGAAACAAGGTTGCTAGAAGGCTTGGAAATTGTCATAAAATGTCAAAAACCAGCAGATGGTCTCTTGGAAACGTGGCATTTCAATACTTGTTATAGCATCTGAGGAAGACTTTTATTGGGTCACATATATTATTGACTTAGATTCTAATAAAAGATTTTCTGTACCTTTAGACATCTTTGTATGTTTTCCGGTGCTTAGTTTTACACTGCTAAACTTAATGTAAGTCCACGATGTGTCACGAAAACTTACAAGGCTAAGAATCCAAAGTTTAGTGTGAAATTAATTCTCATTTTAAAAAGTCTGTGTCTTACCCATCTGAAAACACCCTGTCAGATCTCTGCAGTGGTATGGTAACATAGCTAAGAAAAAAATAAGAGAGAGAAACCTCTTTTGACACTTGGAGGAAGAACGTTTCAGCTCGTTTGTGCTGAAGCTGAAATGGAAGTTACTTGTAGAGATTAAGTCTTTCACAGGTCCTTGCTAATTGTATTACTTTGATCTTTTCAACTCTTGTGCTTGAGGTGTCCATGTAAACAGATCTTCTGTTTGCTTTTTCATTAGATTAAATAGAATTCCCATAAAGTGAATGATCAAAGGCTTTCAGACCTTTATTGGCGAAAACTCTCCTCTCAAATCCTGATTAAAATAAAACCAAACATGAGATAATCTGAGATTTGATTCAGAATGATTGCATGTGACTTCCTAGCAATTTCCCATTGTGCACCATCCTTATCTTCTGTAACCAGTGGGTTCAACAGCATTGAAGTACGAGCCCATTCCCTTGGTTGGCTTTGATCAGATGTCTGAATAGTTTTTTCACTGATACTCTAGCTTAACAACTGTTAGATCTCAATTTGTGTTGGTTTTGCAGCTTGTCTGTTGTAGGTATCTGACTACCTACCAGTGCAAACAACTGAGTTGGGTCAAACTTGAGAATTCTTTGGTATTTCCTGCCATGGAATTAAATATTACTTTTCCAAGAGCACCTAATTTAACAGAAATGGCATGTCCTCCCGTGTTCTTTCAAGTAGCTACTTGGTGACTCTTCTAAATATTCTCCTGCCTTCCCAATAGATGATCAAGTGCTTGGAATTCTTGTTCTTGAAACCATTCAACCCAGGTGGATCATGAACTCTGTATGAGACACTTTTTTGAGTATGTTCTTGCCACGTGCAGGTGCGTTTATTGCCTAGTGAGCATGAATTGGCTCAAACGTGCCCTTAGCCTACAAGGTTTAGTTAGCTACACATGAAGTGACTTCTGATGTAGCACAGCACTGTCTCAATTCAGATTTTTGCAAGCCTTCCATGTATTGAGTGCTCCAAGACCTTGCCTAGACAGATCGTGTTTCCTCAGAACGTGTCCCTCTGTAACACATTGGGCTTCAGCTTCCGTTTGTCGATACGGGAACGCTTGGGAAAAACGTAGGCATGCCTAAGGTGACAAACATAAGCTGCTTATGGAGTACATTGCTAAAAGAACAACGTGCTGGAATCATTCACATCTGACTGAGTGGCTATAAGGAAGTATCCATAACTTACGTTCTGTGTTTTGGGAGTCTTAAGTTTACCCACAGTATTTCTAAACTAAATATACCAATGCACTTCGATTCTGGGCCTCTCTTAAAACTAGTTTGAAAGTACAGAGTAACAACTTCCTGAGAAACAACAACCACTGCTGCTTTTGATTTCTGGAGCACTTGCTCAAACAAGTTCTCAGGTTTCCTTTTGGCTCTTTAAAATTGGAATCTGATTTAAAAAAAAATAAAAATCTTTTTAATTTTTTTTTTTTTCCTCAGTTGATATCAGGATTCAGTGAGTTATAGTGCCCTTTTATCTCTCAGGGTACTAGTGCTTTCTTTGAGATAATTCTTGCAAAATTTACTCAATTTTTTTCCTGCATATGTGGTAGAGAGAAGATGTCTGCAAGGACAGCCGCACTGAGAGACGGGGGTTGGGGGGCACTGCTTATGAAGTTTTCTTAAGGTGTGAAATGTTTTCTGGTGAAATCTGAAACTTCTCTTCACTAATGGTTTGGGACAAGTCGAAAGTCTGTGGCAAGTAGTAACTGCCTGCAAGAGAAGTGCCCGTTCATCCATTAAGTGAACCACCCTTGCTGCCAAAAGTTTGGGTTTTGTTTTCCTTCCTGTCTCGTGAAGAGATAGCTGAATCCAGAATATGTGCGGTGACCAACACTTGTTGATAAGCACTCCTCCATTTTAAAGAAAAGTATTTTTGTCTAATGCTGTTTACTGGGATGTTTCTACACTTCTGGGATTTGCTTGCCAGTCGGTACAGTGTCCTGTTTCTGTTTCACAACCTGCTGTTGACAAGAGCTCAAGAGAAGCAAAGCAGCTGAGCTGCGTGGTCACCAGTAGACCCATCTAAATGTGTGACAGAGGAGTGTTTAAATCACTGGGTTTTTCCCCTCAAAACACAATTGGGAAGGACAATGTTCAAGCAAATATCTTTCTTCCTGTCTACCAGCCAGACGATAAAAACGTCTATTGCACACTTCAGCTCGTAACTTCTGGAGACGTGAGCCACTTAGATGCCCTTACCAAGGGAAGTGTGAAGTGCAGGCACTGCTGCAGCAGGGCAGTGCTCGTGCCTCTGGCTGCCACACGCACGTGCCTGAACGCGGAGTTGTCGCTCTTGCCCTCCCGCACCTCTGGGTTTCAGAACACACCGTCTGTCTGGGAAGTGTTGGCTCTGCGTGATCTCCCCAGTACCAGTGGCGTTGGGCTGGTAGAGCTTGGTGGCCACGGCTTGCAGTTGGACTGCTTGGTCTGTGTCGTACAAAGACCTAAACTCGTCTTGTGCTGTTAGCAGAAAATTCAGTTACCCAAGTAGAGGGTGGATGTGTTCGTTCCTGTGACAATGCACTTGTGTTAGTTTTACCACGGAGCTGAATTGCCTGTTTTTTCAGATAACTGGGTCCTCTGCAAAACTTTTGTGTTTAAAACCTGTGTAAAACCAGACCTTGGTTTTATACAGATGCATTTCCTGTTTTTTGTGCTCTCATTCCTGTCCCCGCTCTCCCCTTCCCTTTTCCCCTCCTGCATATGTTTTACTGGTCTGGTGTTGTCTCTAACTTTATCTGGTTTCTGTCTCAGCAGTAGAGTAAATTCTATTACCCTGATAGTGCAATGGTGGATATAATGTAAACTTCAGAGGATTCTCCAGGGACTAAGAGTGAACCAGTCACCAAAGGTGTCTTGGAACTGTTAAGAATGACAGTGATATAGCTGAAAAAGCAAGGGGCCAGTTTCTGTTTTAATGTAATTACATTTTAACCTTCTTATTACAGTGGACTGTAATAGACCATTAATTGACATAAAGTATATTTTGGTGTTAATTAAGAACTGGAGGCCTCAGTGTCACAGTTTAGAAGGAAGGTTTACCTGAGACTTGTGTTGTTGCATCTCCACTCATTTGTAAAACTAAATATCCAGATCTAATAGCACCTAAGTAAATAAAAATATCTGCATGGTTCTACAATCTTAAGAAAAAAAAAAAAAAGAAACAAAAATGATGCTGACCTTTCCAGAAGACGGGAAGTATGCACGTGGCAAGAGGCTAATTTACCTTTCTATTTCCCAAATTCAGCATGTCCCAAAATACCATACAGCAAGGAGACAGGCCCTTCTTTCTACTTTGCCAGTGAGTTGGGTTTTTTGTACTAATTTTGATTGTACAGAAAAGCACTTTCTAAAGAACAGATGTTAAAGGAATGGGACGTGTTGAGGGAACAAGTTTCCTTGCACCAAACCAGTATGTGGAAAACGCAGGAAGGTTCCTTTCCATGGACAGGGGAGTGAAGCTGTTCAACAGATTTACGTGACCACAGGAAGCTGATTTGTCAGTCTTTGAAAATGTATTTTGCATGCCGAGTAATCTCTGACTTTACTACCCAGTCTTTTCATCTGCAGCCAGAAGTGAGCGCACGTGGATGGCCTCTGCTTAAAACCTAGGTGACCTGCCTCACTCCCTTTCTTTCGTGGCCCAAACGGGATTTTAAAACTCGGCAAGTTCATCTGCTTCCTCAAACGAGAAGTATCTCGTGCCACATCTCTTCAAAAAGCTGTGGCTCAGGTTCTGAGCCCCTGGGAGGAACTAACTTGAGTTGCAGCTGAGGTGAGGGAAGCTTTCAGTAGAGTTACTTTGGTGGCACTGAAGGAAAGCAGTTGTCCTTATTCTGAAGAGAGCGACTAGATGAGGGCTTCTTGCCGGTGCGTAGCATCGGATGCGTCCTCCTTGGCTGATCAACGATACCAGTTACGCTCCCTGGCTCCTGTGCTCCTGTGTGGCGTTGCCCAAGCTGGTGACTCTCCATCAGTGTAGGTGATGGGAGAGGGGGGCTGATGTTCTCCATGCTCTCAGTACACAACAGCTAATACAGACTTCAGTTGCATGAGTGTACAGGGAAAGGCGGATAACTGGAAAACACTGCCTCGTATCTTGGTGTTCAGAGCACTTAGAGGAAGCTGGTTTTGGGGGGGTTGCAGGATGAACCGTAGTTGTCACCGAAGACACGAGAAAGGAGGACAGCAGTTTCAGAGTATTTTCAAACATGCTTCTGTCCTGCAGCAGGACTTCTCGTCGTATCTTTTTCCAATCCACGTAGCCTGTGCCAGGCACTCTTCTGGAGTTTTTTGGGGGTTAGCTCATACAAAAGGGATGTGAGAAAGACCACTTGTTCTCCAAAAAAAACCTCCTCTGGAACAGACTCCCTGTGTTTCATGTACAGAAATGGTTCTGTGTGAACTAGTGGTGTGGGATGCTGACCTGTCCTGTTTTCATGCGTCTTGGTTTGGTGCACTGAAATAACTTTAATAAGCTCGTTCCTTTCGTGGATGATCTTTTAAGTGGAGTCCACTCTACCTGTGTAAAATGACTTCTTTAAATGTTTGTATTATGAAAGAAACATTTGCTATTTCTTTGCTTCCTACCATTCAGGTCTTTTAAATGTAGTTATCCTCACCATCTTACTGGCTCTGGCAATAGTTTTGAAGTTTGTTCGCTGGTCAGTTCTCGAAAATAGGCTCTTCAGTGCATCTTGGGACGATGACCAACGATGACCACCATTGGCAGCATTGAAATTCCTACCAGGGAAAATATGAAATTACATCATATGGGTTTTGCCTCTACCCTTGTAGCTGGGAGTTCTGCTTGATTTCTGCTGCTCTGACCTCTTTTGATTTCAGCTCCTTCTGTGGGTTTGGTGGCTGACTCCTACTTGTTTGCCTCGGAAAAATGGCTTCCGCTTTTGTAGAGTCGAATTCAGTAATTCGATCCGTCTGATGCTTTGCTCACTTAATTCCTGAATCATTATCTTCACTGTGTATCCCTGCAAGGTTAGTGTGGTTCCATGTTACCTGTTAGGAAACACCTTGATGAAGAAGATGCTGAAGGGAAGCAGCTTAGCCCAGGGAGTGTTTCTTGGGGAGAGGAACGTAAGGCTTAAAGGGTGTAAAACAGTGTATTTCTGTTGGAATGAGCTCAGGTTACTCACAGCAAGGAGACACACAGAGCTGTTTTGTCCTTTCCTAGAGCTTTCTCAGCACTTTCTTGGGTACTAGATGGCCATTTGGAAAATTTCCAAAGAACTGACAATGGGGGAAAATGTTGGATAATTGGCGATATATATATTTTTTTTTTCCCCTACCTCCTGTCTTACCTTGTTTGCTATTTGGTAAGTGCAGTGAGCTGTTTCGATGAACAGGCAAAAAAATCTTGAAAAAGTCACAGTGAAAGTGCTTTAATTATGGCTAAGCAGGTGAATTTCTTGTGACTGTTTTGCAAGAAAAGTGTCTCACAGCTTTCATTGGTTCGTCAGGAACTATTAATTGCACTAGCTAAACATGGAAAACCTCGGACATTTCTGGAGTTGAAGTTTGAACTCTGGGTTTGAATTAACAAAGATCTGTGCACGTATTTTAGACTTGGCTGCCACTCGTCCTGCACCGTTCCTGATTTGTCTGCAGCATCTGTACAGGATTTAGATAAGTGTCCACGTAACTTTTAATCACTATTAAAACATAATTTGCAGCAGCATCTGAACTAGTTTTAACCAGACTTAGGGAGCTTACTAGAGTAATTTGTTAAAGACAAAATGGGGGAGAGGAGAAGCTGGGCAAATGCAAATTCTTCAGTATAAAAAAATCTGGTACTTTAAATGCAAAGCTACGGATAAGAGATATTAGAAGGTTATGGAAGAGCTGCTACTATGACAAAAGCTTGATGCTCCCCTCACTTCTGTATCTGTTCTTTACGGTACTATTCCTCGGTTTAACTGGTTTCTTGAGAGAAATTCTTCATTGTGAAGTTTCATTGTATAATGTGTCTGCTTCAGAAAAACTTAGTTTCTTTTTCTCTCAGCTATAAAGAAATGAAGGATGAATTGCACAAGTGGTTTAAGGGAGTACCACGTTATTTCGGGGCTCTTAACAAGTAATGTGACAGGATATGGGAAGCCTTGAATATCTTACAACTTGGAATTAATTTTCATATACATTTTAAGACCTCTAGAAAGGAGTTGAAGTTAATTTGTAGTCGTTTGTGCCAGCTCTGCGGCTGAGGAAGGTTTGCCCTTTGGCAAACAAGTCAATCCCACCATGTATTTATTTACATTATTTTGTCAGAGATCTTCTGGCCTTTTTCAGTGTTGTATAATAATGAGGTTGAGAAATTTTCCTACAGTAGGAAACCGTAAACTCCATATAAAAATGATTGGTGTTTCCATTGATAATTTTCATGTGATCCATGTCAGAAGGAGCGGTGGCTGAAAGTCAAGTAGAAGCGCGGTTGAGATGCTGCTGCAAAATGAATTTTAGTAGTGATATGAAAGAAAAAAAGACTTTTTTTGCGTTTGAAAGTGTAACAAAGTGCTGTGGCAGAAGATGCTGGTAGTTTTGCCAGTGTGCATAGAAAATACCAAAGTGTTTTCAAAACCTGTCAATCAGAAATGCTCGTAGTGTACGAGGATGCTCGTGCTTAAGTACACACACGAGTTAGGATCAGCTCAAACTGCAGGAGTTTAGGGTTACAAATGAAGTTCATCTGCATTAATAGCCTGAAACTGTAGTGCACATCACTGTTGGACCGTTTGCTCTTACTGGAGCTTTCCAGACAGCAGGGCGGGATGAAGTTAAATGTGCTGGGCAGTTATTTTACATAGGAGACGCCTTCATGGGGGCCTGTACAGGGGAGAAAAATCTCCATATACTGTCTAGATGTGTTCTACTGAGTTTGACTGTTTTAGAACTAGTATTTCTAAGCTGTATAGCAAACCAAGCTGGAGGCAAACAAGTATTTGCATGGGGTAGCAGCGTGCCAGGGCTGGTTGGCAGGGCACGGTGGGGTTGCTGTCCTTTTGAGACTCGCCTGTGCCGAGTGGCGTTGTGCTTTCAGACGTTTTCACCACCCGTTTTGTCTTTCATCCTTTATATACACTCAGGCAGTTCTCTGGATTCATGAACTTGCTGCCCAGCACAGTGAAACTCTCAGAAGTCCCAGTGAACAGTGAATTGTGAAAGTGAGATAACGCTCCTCAGTAGTTGTGAATGCACAGGTGATCCCAGCGTAACAGTTGCACTGCAAGTCTCTCCCTGTGCCCTGCTTTCCAGGTTTGTTAGTTAGGGCAGGAAAACACCAGCAGAAAACCTGCATGGATTCTGCAGACGGGCACTTCACTGGCCATCAAATTCTCACGTAATACAAACCCCATTAAAAACCGCTGTAACCCGGTAGATAGTTAAGCAGTAATTAACTTGTCAGAACAACAAAAAGGTACCGGAACAAATAAGGAACAACTGCAGGGAACAGATCCAGGAGCAGGTTGATAGTTTGCTTGGACTGTTTGTCTTTTAGCAGTGTTGTCAGCGAAACTGGCCTCCATCTTGACAAGCTGTGACGTTGGAGAGAGTCGTGCGCGTTGTCACGTGCAGAAGCGTAGTTGCAAACTGCGGACTGGTCGTTGCACGAGTTCTGGAAGCAATAGAAGGGAACAGGCAAAGCATCTTCATTTTCTTAGGGTCTCGCTTTCTGGCTGCGTGCTCTGTGTTTAGAGGAAGACTTGCTGTCATTATGGCTTTTCATACTTTCTTAGGTTCCCTCAGAAGTGGAAAAAAAAGACTATTTAGCGTGGCTCGTTGTGAAGCGGAACAGGACAGGACTCCTCAAGGATGGATTTCTTTTTTTTTCATAATTAGTTTGTTGTTGGAGACTGTTATGGCTGTAGCAACAGATGTGGTTTCACTGGTGCAAAAGTTCTGTTGTGCAGTTTTTTTCCTTTTTTAGAATTTCATACCTTATTTGCTACCGTTTCAAGGAATTCAGAATTTCATGGCAGTGTTGAGAAGCTCACAGAACAGTGGTGATCCAGAAAAGACTCCCTTGAGAGGATAGTTAAGATACGTTATTTTAGTACAAGATACTGACTTCAGCAAAAATTTGATGCTCAAGCAGCCTCTGTTTTCTCAGCCATTATGTATATACTGTGTGTCCCTATAGCTCCGAAGCATCCGTGCAGTGTGTGTACTTCACGCTGACTGTGCTGTGAGCAATTTCCAGAAGAGTAGCATGGTGAGGTTAGCCAGGTATAAGGCCAAAGAATTTTTTGGATGGTGGAAATAAAAATGGCTTGTAACACCTTTGCAAAGTATATTTCAGGAAAAACTAAATTGTATGAAAATGATAAATCTGATATTTTAAACTGGTCTGTTTGACAAAACAAAGATGAAATACTGCTTTTTTCTATGTACTATCTGTTACATTGTCAAACTAGGGAAGATGCACTGTCTAATTATGGTTATTTATAGACTTTCCTGCAAAACCAAACTACACAAAAGCAAGGTAAGATACTCAGCTATTTGCAAGATAATTTTTTTTTTTTTTAGAAGGGGGAGGGAATATTTTTACAGTATGTTTGAGATATAGCGAAATCTTCAAATGCAGGTGGTGACTTGATAAGGTGCATGCTCTGTATCTGTTGTTAAATGGTCTTCTTTTTCATCCTAGTTTCCACTGGCTCACTTGCTCAGCAGTATGCCCACCCTAATGCTACCCTGCATCCGCATCCTCCGCATCCTCAGCCTTCTGCCACACCAACTGGCCAGCAGCAAAGCCAACATGCTGGAAGCCACCCTGCTCCTAGCCCCGTGCAGGTAACAACTCGAGAGAGTGAATGTCTTTAAATTGTAATTAGCACGCTCTTCTGGAAGGAATTGCATCAGTTTGATGCTTGACATGAATTTATTGATTTCTTTGAGAGAAAAACGGTGAGATGGAGCAGTGGCCCAAACGAACTACGTGTGGCAGATCTCATACAGGAGTTGTGTAGATTCCCCTCGGTATTCTGGAAGGAAGGAAGGAAGTAGAGCTATATAACTTAAGCTTTCTCTCCTTGCAGTGGCTAGGACTCAAAGGTGGTAGGCTCATGACATCGTTTGTTAGATAAGCTAGCGTGGAAACTTGTGGCAGTCGTTTTCCTTAGTAAGGACCCATGTCAGAGTCCAACCATTCCTTTCTCCCTCTTCACAGGGGATGAGGTATAGCTTGTTTCCATGTTGCGATTAAAAAGGATCATAATTTTGTCAGAGCTTTAATATGAATGGAGTTAAAACTGGAAATAGCAGATAAATGCTGAGAAGCGTTTGACTGTGTTGCATCAAAGACAAGCAGATGAAAACAAAATAGGCCTTGTGATAGTGCTGCATGCCTTAGTCACCTACTGGTAATAACTTTGGGCTGCCACGTGCAGCTGTGAAGTGTATCCAGCCCCACGTTTGCAGGGTCTCCGTGTTTTTACCTGTCAGTCTAGGTTCCATTTTCCAGGATCCTGCTCACATGACTTTATAGTGCAAGGAGAAGATGAGCCTGGTGGAACTGAAACGAGTTTCCTCGTGACCATAGGTGTGGTGATCCTTAGATTCACCAGTTAAAAGGTTCACTGTCGAGAGTGGTTTTGCAAACCTTTCTTACACTAGTTTACAGAAGAAACGTGTCTCGCTTCTAGACCATAACCTAAGTGATCTTCTGTCTTTTTTTGCAGCATCATCAGCACCAGGCTGCTCAGGCACTCCACCTGGCAAACCCACAGCAGCAGTCAGCAATTTACCACGCGGGTCTAGCTCCAACCCCACCTTCCATGACGCCAGGCTCCAATACGCAGTCTCCACAAAATAGTTTTCCTACAGCACAACAAACAGTCTTCACCATTCATCCCTCCCATGTTCAACCTGCATATACCAATCCGCCACACATGGCCCATGTCCCCCAGGTAAACACAGTTTAACAACCTTCAAGACTAAATGTCTTAATGCCACAAAAGTTAGGACAGTCGGGCCTGCTGAAGTGATTTCCATACTGTCACCTCTCAGCACAGATTACCTGTTGTGTTATTTAGGTTTCTGTCTGTACATTGCTTTTATTTAGAATTTTACAAGATACTTGGACCTCAGCTTCTAACACCCAGTGCATCTACAACTGTAGTTTAATGAAGACATCTTAAGGTGGCACTGCTACTGAAAGAAATTGAGCTCTCTTCCCAGTTCCCGGCTCCCATCTTTGTCCTGCCCCACCATTCTGCTCACAGAACTGTTTGGCCATGCAGCAAACCAGACTGGGGACATGATTCAGCTGAAGTGTGCCTTCCCTGCCCCCGTTTTAGGCTAATTCTCAGTCAAATCAGTTCACTACTCAGGTTCACTGCATGAGCACAGGAAGAGCTGGCATACAGAAAGGTCGGAGGTGAGAGCTGAGTGGAGGAAGGCTGAATTGCTGCTTTGGGTGGCAGTTTTAGGCTCTGCATTGTAGTCAAATTTTACAAATACATCCAATAAAGGATATTACATAGGATTACTAGGGAGTGGCAAGGCACTGCAGTGGCAGATAGGTGAGATTCAGTTCAGATGACTGCAAGACAATCCTTGCTGAAAGAAAACTCTGTGTGTGTGCGTGCGTGTGTCTGTGCGTGGTTCTAAATGACCTGCTTAGGCAGGAGATCCTCGATGGTCGTTGGGCAACTTAACAACAGTCCTTGCTTCAGGATCAGAAACCCACTTCTCTTAACTGCTCTCTTGTGGTCAACTCACTGAAAAAAGGATTTGGGGAAGGGAAGCACATGCTTGATTAATCAAGAGCTCTGCGTAAAGCAGAGTTACAAGGATTTTCTGGTGTTTACTAAATCTCATGGATTTAGTGTGCTTTGTCAAGGAACGGACAATTAATCAGTAATTTGCCTGCCCAGTTTCTTCTGCAGTCCAAGTACTTGGTGTCTGGCTTATGCCTTCTCGTGCAGGTTAACAATAGTTTGGGATATCGTGGACTAACTGTAATGAGGGAGGTTAGTCTAATAGGTGTCCAGTCCCGTGCAGAATTCTGATAAAATCTTTGCTTTGGTCCCTGGGACAGTCAGTTAAGCCAATGAATTAGTAGTTATTTAGGAATTGTTTTACTGATGTTGAGTTTTTAGCTTTTTTATTCTGTTAGGCTTTTAATTTCTCTACTTTTTCTACTGTGGGAGGATAAGGAGAGGATGTTTAAACTTGACCACTCCTGTGGCATCTTGCCATGTCCTCCCGGGCTCTGGTTTCTGCCAGAAACAAGATATTTGCTCCGCTCTGGTGTGATGGCACTGGTGTGAACGCCGAGGTTGCAGAGCTTCTCGGGGGTGCCTTGCAGGCAGCCCTTCAGAAGGGTCTCCTGGGAAGCTCCTGCTTCAGTGCCGTGCCTCGAAACATGAAACGTGTTTGGTTTAAGGTCAGCTCCGAGGTGAAACTGTACGTGAGATGTGCCGTACACGTCACGGCCAGGCCTGTGCCCGCGCTGCAGGATGCCACCGTCGCCTGCCTTTCTGTGTGCCAAGCACTTAAGAAGCAAACTTTGAGTCAGAACTGACTGCTCAGTCAGGAGTTTTTAGCAATCACAGGCAAAGCCTGCTTCACCCTTGATTTTTGACTTGGGCAGTCTCTTCTGCTTTAATTTTTTTAGGAGAAAACTACAATCTGTAATCCGTGATACTTATACCAAACTAACGGACTTTTCGAAATGAAGTAGTTCCCTCAGAAATATCTGATGAAGGAATAACTACAGTTCTGTAAGAGTTTTTAAATGCATGTAATTATTCCATTGTGGGGAAACTAATCACTGGATTTAATAGTTTCCTAGCAGCCTCATTTCCAACTTCTGAACACAATTCTGAAATACCATGGAATAGGAATTTTAGGTAGGCTAACACAGGGGATCAGTTGAATTTCCCTTTAGGTTATCGGGTGAATCTTGAGCTGTTAAACATCTCACTTGGGAAACCGTACTTCAAAATTCATTACAGAGTACTGTCAGCTGCCAATTTGCAAAGCGTTTGAGCCACAGCAGAAAATTTTTATCCAGTGTGTGTATTGAATACGACTCCTATATGAATAGCTGTTTTATAGTGATGGCTGCTGTAATAGCATGTTTGTCAAAGTAAAAATGGTGCTGATCCTGAAAGGTATTTCTGTTTCACAGCCTTATCTTCCAAGCCTTTTTTAGAGCGAGAGTGAGATTTGAATTGCAGTTCCTGCCTTTAAAGGCTTCTCGAGTGCTACTAATACAGTGCAAGTCTGATAAAGAGTTTGAGGAATGTCTGTGATGAGTCAAGTAACCCTTTTGTCTTTAAGAAATAAAATTATAGCCACTACCTGCTATCTGTCTTTACTGGCATGTGAAACTTGTGAAGCTGCAGTTACTGCACCGTAGTGCTCTGTTAATGGGATATGGTAGAAGGACAAAGCAAACCTTAGATAGAAATGCTTTTTTTTTTTTTTGTAAGAGAAACCCACTGAGAGCTCTGAGAGTTCCTTTGTTTTGTGCTTTTAAGAAACTAGTGTTTACTAGCTTTTTCAACCAAAAAAAACGACGACCTCTAGAGTCATGAACTGCCCAGAGAAGCCAACTGACAAGTTACTGAATTTGTTTGCCAGAAGGTGATCAGCCATCGTAAAGATTAATCTCCTTTTTCCGCCGAGACTTAACTATGATTGCTTAGATTACACAAGGACCTTAGCTGTGATGAGCTTAGCTGGAAACAGAACAAAGCTGACCTAACAGTATAAAGGGATGAAATCACTCATCCTAGAGTGATTGCGTAGATGAACGATACCGTGGGCACAGGTCACTGGAGAGAGTGGTTTCGAGGACAGGGAGCCGTGAAGGAAGGTTGGAGCTGAGCTGTGAGCAGCTGAGGAAGGAATGAAGGGATGCCCGGCTCCCAGCGCCTGTGCAGTTCGTATCCGTACCCGGTGCATCCTCTGCATAGGAAGTGCTTTGATCTCGGTTACAACAATGCTGTTTTGAAGATTTGTTGCTGAGGTGTTTTGGTTTTGTTTTTAAAATATCCCACTGTTTTGATGCTGGCAGTTTCTCCCAAATGGCTAAAACTGAGACTGTAACTCAGAGCCAGCATTAAGGATTTGAGCCCTTTTTTCTGTTGTGTTTTTTTTTTTTGTTAGTTATTATTTTTGTGTTAAGATGTCTGACTTAATCCCTATAGCTAATCTAGTTAAAAACAGAGTAAATCTCTGGATTTACTGGTACAGCTGGAGAAAACTTGCCAGTCATGTGGCCGGGAGTGATGCCTCCTTGTGACCATTGTACTAAAGAGCTCTTTGTTTCAGGCTCATGTACAGTCAGGAATGGTTCCTTCTCACCCAACTGCCCATGCTCCAATGATGCTAATGACGACACAGCCACCTGGTGGTCCCCAAGCCGCCATCGCTCAAAGTGCACTACAGCCCATTCCAGTCTCGACAACAACACATTTCCCCTATATGACGCACCCTTCAGGTGAGGAGTGTGTGCCCGGGAGACCTGCACCTTAACTGAGCCAGGTCGTGGGAGCGAGGAGAAAACTGGTGTCAACCAGATTTGGGGAAAAGAACAAACAAAACAAATTAAACCAACCAAAAAAAAAAAAAAAAAAAAAAAAAGCCAAAAGCACGATGTCCTCGTAGCGCGGCAGGCTGCTGGCGGCAGACCGCTGACGCTCGGCCAGCCCGGAGCAGCGGGCGAGATTCGGCCAGTTTAGCAAAGGTTTTGCTTCTCTCGAGCTGGAGGAGAGAAACGGCTTTAACTGTGCAGACACTGGCACTGTGGGACGGCGCTTTCCCAGGTTTTGCCGTGGCTTTGCCGTGGGGGATGGACTGTCTGTGTAGCCCGTTTATAATGATCTGGGGTTTTATTAAATTTACAGCGGTCGGCCTGGAGGATAGGAGTGGAAATGTTGCGTGGGGGTAGGGCTGATAGACTTCTAATGACTGAAGTAAAGTGACAACTGAAGTCTAATCCTTAATTCAGAGTAACGTTCTGCAGCTTTACTTTTGGGGAAAAGTAGGTGCTGTATGACTTCTTTCTGCTTTTAATGTAACCTTACCGAGGTTTCTTTTATTGTTACTCGTTTCCAAACAGCCTCTAAACTTTTGTAGTGAACTAGAAACCTGATTTTGTTTCTTGGGGAATGTGTGAGTAGAACAAGGCTGCTTAGGGTTTAGGCAGGGGTAAAAAAAAACATCCAAAGGACATCTTGATGTGCAGGGTTTTGTTTTGTTCATTTAAAAAAGAAAAAAAGAGAAAAAATTAAAAAAAATAAAAAATAAGAAAAAGTTGAGCTCAGTAGTTGTCCTGTGACCACTTTACTAGCAAACTGTTGTGTGGCTTGCCAATTTATTATTTACATTTGAACTTTTTTTTTACAGTACAAGCCCACCACCAACAGCAGTTGTAAGGCTCATCTGGAATAACTGAAAGGCTGGATACCTTTTGTAGGCCAAATACCCTCCTTCTACTGCTTCTGCCAACTGGAAGCACAGAAAACTAGAATTTCATTTTATTTTGTTTAAAAAAAAAAAAAAATTGATTTCTTGTAACATCCACTAGGAATGCTAACAGTTCATCTTGCAGTGGGAGAGATTCGGACTGAGTAGAGGCATTTAGGAACTTGTGGGCTATTCCATAATTCCATGCACTGTATCTGAGTCCTGCAAGTGCCCCAACTCTGCTTGCTGAAAACTGGAAGTTATTTATTTTTTATTGACCCTTCAAAGTTATGAACTCATCAGCTAGCAAAAGAAGTAACAAGAGTGATTCTTGCTGCTATTATCACTAAAAATCAAGACTTGGAGATCCCTTTTACTTCTAACTAAACTTGAAACAGGTTCAGTAAAAAAAAAAAAAAATTCTAATCGTCAAACTGATGAATTATTATTTATAAATCACGTTTGATGAGATAATCACTATCGTGAGACAGTGATGTAACTTTTAAGTTAAGAAAACTTTTACTTTGTAGATAATATAAAATAAAAACTTAAAAAAAAAAATAAAAAATAAAAAAAGTTTTAAAAACTGACCTACTTAGTGTTTGTGTCTTGTTTGACCAGTATCTCACTTCAGTGTGTTCTCCAGCTCTCGATGCAGGTGGGGTGACCGATTCGGCATCGGGGGGTGAGCTTTGCACGGCGTTTCCGTCGTGTCCCGCCGCCGTGTCGTGTGCGCGTCCCCCGCCACGCCGCCAGACCCGTCGTGTTTGACTTGCAGGGCCCTTGCAAAAATAAGTCAAAAAGTTTCAGGGCTTTGAACAATTCCTTGTGTTCAGCTCGGTTCCCTAATGCCTCAGCCTCACGCTGGTCTGGCTGGTGCCAAGATGATGTCAAGAGGCTTAAGATGATAACGCTATACGAGACGTGGTGCTGCTGGAGGGGGAGAAAAGGAAGGAATGGGGGTCAGCATTCCTTGGCACGCCTGGTGAACGTTGTGACTTGGTGCAAAACACGCGGGGAACACAAATACTGCTGCGGCTTCTGTCTTAATCCCCCCAAAAGCAATGAATTCCTGCTCAGGTGGGCGGCAGGGAGCGCAGGGCCGTCGCGGAGGGCGGTGGTGACGCGGGGCAGGACTCCTGGAAGGACTCCCAGGAAGGAGCAGCTCGTCACACGGGCTGGTGGCCCTTTCCAAGGAAGGGTTTGGCAGCTGTTAACCCACTGCCTGCTAAAACTGTGTCCAGGCACCGAGAGAGAATCAAACTAAAGACAAAAAGTGAGAAACAGGTTCTAAAAACAGTTTATTGAGAGCAGAATTATTTTTTTTTTATATTACGGTAAAATTGCATTATTTGAGAATAAGTTACTTGTACAGTACATACAGAAACAATACATAGAAAAACCTACTATACAAGAAGTCTGTGCAGGTGGAAAGTAGAACTTTCAAATCAAGACACTTTTCATCCAACAAACTGTTGGCTTTAATCATCCTGCTAAAGGCTGAGTTAGCGAACGCACAGTCGCCTCCCCCACCGCTGGTAGTTGCCGGTGAAGGTCGGGTCTGTTCCCATCCAACACACTTAAATTAATTAAAATTTGGAATACTCAAACCTGTTAGTCAAGATTTCAAAGCTTTATGTGCTTGTTAGAGTAAAACTGCATTGGTTGGATGGCAGCAGTGTTCCGTGATCCGGAGACTAAGAAACAAGAAGCTTTGGCCTCACCCTGGACCTCTTCCTAGAAGCTTTGCCCCAAAACAGTTCTGATGCCAAAACCATTGGTGAGGCAACGGGGGTGGGGTGGTCAGTGTTGGGTAACCTGCCCTGGATGGCTGGTGCCGTTCCTCAGGGCTGGGATGGAGGAAGAGATGAAGTAATGCTTCGTGTCACAAACTTCTTCAGAACCTGTCGCCCATCAGGACACGCAAAAGCCACCGCGGGGGATGGCCCGTCAGCAAATGGCAACGTGGGTTCCGAAGTGTGAGATGGAGACGAGGGGGAGCAGTTCTGGCTGGACCCAAGTCTTGGGTTGCACACTAAGCCAGGTCCCTGCTGTCCGAAAGCGAAGGCACTGCCTGTTTTGCATCTTTATTGCCAAAACAACTGTCCTGAGTAGCCCGCTGAGGAGGAGCATCCCTCCCTCCGAGCCCTCTCTGCGTCGTGGGGCAAAGGCACCGGGAGTCGTTGCCGGTTGGGTCGTGGCTTTGTTAGGCTGGATCCAAACTCACATTGCACGTGCTCGTCTCCAGGACTAAGGCGGAAGCCGAGACCTTGGCCGTTGCATCTGACTTTATTTCAGCTCTAGGAAAGGCTCTTTCTCCTCGGAGCTGGCCGTACCTGCGGCGCGTGGCCGTGCGGGGGCTCTTCCCAGGGCTCCCCCTCCTCCCAAAACTCAACGGTCATACTCCATAAAGGCCGATAAAAGCCCAGGTGGGCTGGGGAGCTAAACCTGCTAAGTCTTAGGCTCTTTTTCCCAAATTTAGAAGACTATAAAAATTCCATTTAGAGAGAATTCCAAAAGAGAGTGAGGCTCTTTGCCCACTGCTGTAATAAAGAGCATCAAGTACCTTACGGGCTGGGTTAACGTGTGCTGGCAGGAGCAGAGGTCCTGTGTCACCAGCCAGATGGTTTTTAGGAGAAACGGGATTTCAAACTCGGCCCTTCAGGAGCTGGGGAAATAGCCCAAACATCCTCCTGGCGCGGCCGGGGTTGAGTGGGAGGACTGGGATGGGGAACTGGGTGGCTGGGGAGGGACAGCAGCAGCTCTGGGCTCGGCTGGACGTGCTTAAACCCAACAAGTCCCTGGCAAGGAAAAGCTGGGTGAGGGAATAGCCCTTGACCACCTTGTTGGGGAGGTCTGAGAAGGAAATAACTCTCTGAAATAATCCGAGCAGCTTTCCCACTGCTCACTCACAGGGAGGACTGGAGTTCGCATCCCCCGGAGTGGGTTTGCGGCTGACGGGGCGATAATGAACTCAACTTTTTTTTTGCTAATGAAGCACAGCGATTTCCATTGAGACTACGGAGAAAGCCCGTGCAATTAAACTGCAGGTTAAAACCACCACGTGCATGTGCTTGTTGGTGCTCCAGCAAGAGCTGTTGGTGCTCCAGCAGTAAGCCCCGGCGCGCCGAAACCACCCGTCCCAGCAGCAGCCGTTATCTGGCGAGGGCTGCGCCGGCAGGGAATAGCCATCCCTTTTCCCGTTCTTTGGTGCAGATGCTCTGAGCGTAGGGGGACTGGGCTGAGACCACCTTGTCTTTTGGGCAAAGACCCCTTGGAACGTGGCTGCCTGGAGCCCAGCGGAGCTGAAATCAGCTCTTTGAACCTCAGCAAGATGTAGCACACGCGAGTGTTTTCCGAGGCGTGTGTGCTCCGGGATCCACGCACCGAGCAGGGAAAAGAGCCAACGACTTGTGCTGTGCTTCCTCCCCTTCCCTTCTTCATCCCTATAAACTCAAGACTGTGGGGAGTCACTTATTAGCAACGGAGGAAGCTGACTCGCCTGGCACAAACCCACCCTGGCTATATGCTCCTGCCATTCCAGGCAGCCTTTGTGCTGCTCTGGGGAGGAAAACGGGATGCGGATATGGCCGAGAAGCTCCAGCTGAGGACAGGGCTGGCTTTGTTTCCCTGGCAGCCGTGCCAGGTCTGGCAGCACCGGAGGTGTGACCGGCCACGGCCCTTTGCTCTTAACGCTCCGGTTTGGAAAGCGAGGGTGGAAATAAAGACCTTGCCTGCTCGGAACGTACAAGGCAGCACGGGAGAGGCTGGGGAGAGATGGGGAGGCACAGAATGCAAATCCAAAGTGATTTCTCAAGTCGAAGGGATCCAGTTTCTCCCAGCCCCTCGTCCTTCGACTACTTATAAAACCAGATTTACCCTCACGGCCGATCCCTGGGCTGCGTTTGGCCCCGGTGGTTCTGGCCCTGCCGGCTCCTGGTCCCTGCCCGCGCTCCAGCTGCCCTTTCTGGCCCAGCTCAGCCCAACGATGCCGTGACCTTCCCCTTCAACCCCTGACTTTAAGCAGAGCTCAGCTCCCTGGGCTTTGGCTGCCAACCGGGCTCACCACGTGCCGGCTTAACGGCCAAGCCCTGCCGAAAGGCGAGATGGCTGCAGCACTCCCCACCTCGGCCCCACGAGGCTTTTTCTTTGCTCACTTTCCAATTAATCCCTAAATGTCAACGCTCCTGAGGGCTCCCATCTTCAGGGGGAGGAGAAAAAAAAAAAAAAAATTTTTTTAAAATTCCTGTAAGGCAATTTCAAGGCCAGTTTTGTATCCGAAATCCAGGGGAGTGCTGCGCTGAGAAATCTGGAAGTTGGGTGCTGCGAACATCCCCTCCCG